CCTCGCAGGTCTCGCCCACTGCTCCCCTTAGCGGTGTATTTCAGTAGATCTGCCTGTTCTGCTGCCCACTCTGTCTCTGGTGAAGCCTCTCACTGCCCCTGCACCTCTGGCCTGTACCCCATTTCTGTATGCATAAAGAAATAAAATCTTTAAAAAAAAATAAAGGAACTAGTGGGGACAAACATGACTAACTAGGGTAATACATCCCTAACCGAGGATTCCGTTGAATGGAGCACCTTGTCAGCCTTGTGGCTAGTGAAGGCTTCTGTGGAGCTCAGCAAAGGGTCCTTTAAGAAGGAAACATGTATGCAAAAGCCCAAAGACAAAAGAAACTGGGAAAAGTTGAGTGTAGCAGAAGCATAAGTAAAAGAGCTTAGAGAAGAAAGCAGGTGCTATTCCAGGTAGCCTCTGCATGTTACGGGCTCTGATTGTTAACTATTGACAAACAGAAGTTGGTGAAGCGTTCTGGGTTGGGTAACATAGCTTAATCAAACATGAGTTTTAGAAAAATCACTTAGCAGCATCCAGAAGATGGGTGGGTAGGAGGGAAGGCTGAATTTAAGTAAAACTATTTTGCTCCTTCCCAGAGCTTCCCAGAACATGTCCGGATTTTCTGTTTCCAAAATTTATCCCTCTTGTTTTTTTTGCATTGAGTTTGCTCCCATGCTGACCACCTACTGTGGGCCAAGGATCCTTTTATGCTTAAGCAGAGAATGCATGCCCATGCCAAGAGCTTTGCTCTGCACCTTTTGGCGGAATCTGTGTGTGTGGGAGAAGTCAGTGACATGTCACCATCTGGGTAGCTTCATCTGACTAAACCACTGAAAATGTGAGCTTGGTGGCAAACACCTTCTTGAGACTCACTCTCTTCATTTGAAAACACAGATAATGAAATATCTCCTTCAGATCTTTGTAAGATCCTGTGTGATGATACATGTAGGCATGTAGGAGGTACCCAGTAAGTTTTATTTCCTTCTCTTTTTCTCTGCTGTTCTCTAGTGCTTCTTAGAATAAAAGTCAGAAATCTGACAGGCCTTTGAAAGCCTAATTCATTCTGACTCGTTTCTTACCCAATCTTTTCTGTTCCCTACTGCTGACATACCCTGAAGTTCAATTCTAGTATTCTTGTTGATATTTTAACACTTCAGGCACGCTCCCACCTCACACTATTATAGTGCCCATATGACTTGTTTCCTAATCTTGTCTAAGTTTTTGTGTCATCTTCAGTGAGACCTATCCTAACCACTCTTTAAAAGTCTAGTTCCCTCCTTACCCCACCCCAGAAGTCTTGTCCTTCCATTACGTTTCAATTATTTAATTATATTGTTTTAAATGTTATTTAGTTTAATATTATTTGGTTTGATCATTTATCTCCTCCAACTAGCAATTAAACCACAAGGACAGGAAGTTTCTTTTATTTATTTTTTGAGGCAGCATTGGTTTGCAACACTTATAAATAAGATTCAGAGGATAGGTTTACACCTTTTCAGATGTATGATACCAGAACATACATACCACCAAGTCATCCATGTCCTCTACCGTGGTCCCTTGGGCTCCCTTTTTTTTTTCTTTTTGTCTTATTTTTCATCATCTCATCAGTGCTTAGCACTCAAAGCTATCAATGGATGTTTGTTGAGTGAATGACATGCTCAATTAGCTCTTATCTATAATATTGGGAGTTGGGACAGCACCTTGTATTGAGGGGTCTCAGTTGCTATCTGAGGGTTCTTATGTAATGGTAATCTGACTTGTCCAAGTAGGACTAACGGGTTCTAGTCTTGCACCCCTTTGTCCATAAAATGAGGACATTGCCCTTGATTCACTAACAGCCTATTTTATGAAGATCTTTTAACCCTCAGATGCTTCTGCTCAGAGGTACTGGCTAGCTTATAGTCCTACTAGAAGGTACAGAAACCAACTTTTCCCTCTTTAACAACCCTTCCATTACAACTGTTAAGCACTTAAGTTGTTTTTCTCCTTTGTTCTCTTCCTGTTTGCCACTCATTGAACCTAAAGGCCATCACCCATGGAACCATATGGAGTGTATTGCCTCATCAGGGACACAGTTGTCAGAATGTGGCTTGACTACATTTCCTTGCCAGCCTTTGAGCTCTAAGGAAGCTGCTGTTATAAAAGAACTGAGAGATCTGCCCTCTGGTGATGCTCTATATTTAAAATAATTTATTTAACCTTATTTATTCACACACTGATACTCATAGTCAAATGAGAGACTAAAGGTAGGCAAGTAATTATAGAGGTGAAGATAAGTATATGGAAGAGCAATAGAGGTAGGTATGTGGAGGTTAGTCATGTTCCTGCTACAGAAGCATTGTACAACTTCAAACCTCAGTGGCTTCCAACAACAAATGACTTATTTCTTCTATATGTATCGGTCAGTATAGATGGCCCTGCTTAAGGTGGGTCAGGCTCTGGTCTGTCCTAGTATCTCTCTTTCTGGAACTCTAATTTGGAAAAGCATAGGGTACCTGAGGCAGGCACATGTCGTGAATACAGGAATCCAGACCATTCAAGCACCTCTACAGCCTATGTCTTCGTCACATTTGAATATCCCACTGACCAAAGTAAGTCACAGGCCAAGCCCAAATCAGGAAGGCAGGAATGAATACTCTCACTCTAGTGGCAACATGGAGGTATAGTTTTATTGCTGAAGGAGTGAAGAGTTAGGAGCAAAAAGCTAATCTGCAGCATTTAACTCTGGCTGTGGTAGTTAGGGAAAGCTTTTTAGAGGTGGGAACTTTCATCTTAAAGGATAAGTAGTTTACTGGACAAAAAAGAAGATAGTTATATATATACAAGTGCATACACATTAAAAACAAAGGACATGTACTATTGTCTTCATATTAATTTGTGTAGTCACTATAAGCTATGGAAAAATAAAACAAAGATTAAGTTGCCTATCCATGAAGTCCATATTTTATAGAGATCAGAAAAAAAATCATGCAAAAGAGAAAAGGAAAATAGAATTTATTTTCAGTAACTATTTTTGGTGCAAGGTATGTGTTGCTTTCTATTCATTATTTCATTCCTCACAAACTGTGAAGAATGTCCAAATGTTAAGTACAAATAAGAAAATGGAGCCTCAGAGAGGTAGATAACATGTCTAGCAGTTCATACTAATAAGTGTTGGTCCAAGGACTACCTGCCTATAGTTCCCTTTGTAAAAAAGCAAATAATTAAAATTACTTGCTAATGACTCACTCTGTTTTATTAAGTGTATCTGTTTGAAAATTCACTGAGCCCGTGGTGTTTAGTGTCTGTTGTCTGTTCAGTGCTGCTGTTGTTAAAGGGCCTCATTCCTAGAGCAACTCATTTCTGAAATCCATCTGACTGGGGTATTTTTCAGGTCTTACCTTTTCTTTGCACATGAGTTTAAGATGCCTCAAAGAAAATAGGATTCTTGACTATTCTACTCCACAGTGTTCACTTTGGATGGTAGGGTGTTTTGAAATTCTGCTTCTTCCTTTCCCTCAGTTTATATATTATACCAGTAAGTGTTTTTCATAGAAATAAAGGGAAACAAGTATGGTGGGCTGTGCCAAGCCTCCAATAAAAGTTAGAGATGGGACGGTGTGAAGAATAGTAGTTCCTACTATCTTCAAATAACCTTGATAACTTCTACCTAGTCCTAGCTCTCTCTCATCGTGAGACTTACACTCTGTGGAACATTCCTACTCATGAAGAAGTGAGCATTTGTGAATTTTTATTTCTTGTTTCATTTTTTAATAAATGAAGAGATTTTATTATTTCACTGTATATTAGTTAATATGCTAGACTGTGTTTTTAAATAGAAAATGAGACCCAGGATAACATTTCTTTGACTCATGAGAACTTTGATATCACAATCTGTATTTTGAAGGAACCAGTTTCTTATGACATCTATGATACTGTCCATGAGGATATCAACGATGCTTAATAGCAAAGAATATTTATCTAAATTGTTCTATCATGGGTCCTTGCTCAAAGTGTTCACCTTTTCCTTCTAATCTGTTTTTTAGCACTTGATCATGTTTCTTCATTATTATGTACAAAGTCTGGTCAAGGGATAGGTTTTATGTGTTCATATGGAATGGCCACAGATTGGTGGTAGCATATGATGCTTCTGTTGTCAGTTGTCAAAGAAAGTTCTACTTTGCGATTATAGTCATCTAGAAAAGAAGAATATGGAGACTTATGACAAACACAATATTAATCATTTATTTTCTATTTGAAATAAATGTTTCAAGACAGTTCTGCTTGATATAGCCCATTTTGCTCCTTTTAGTGCATGGTGAATCAAGAACCTATTTTCATCCCTTGACAGCTGGTTACCGCCAAGCCACCATCTTGCCTCAATTGGGGTGCTCTCTTTCTTTCTTGTTTCTTACCCATAATCACTTGGTAGTTGAAATTTCTGGGGCCTTACTGACTTTTTTTTTTGTTTTAAAGATTTATTTATTTATGCTTACAGAACTGGCGTACAGGCCAGAGATTTGGTTGAGTGAGAGGATTAACCAAAGACAAAGAATTGGGAGCAGAACAGGCAGACTGATGAAGTACACTGCTGAAGGGACAGTGTACCAGCGGGTAGGTCAGGAGAAGTCTACCATACCATGTGGGTAAACTTCTGGCTGGGGATCGTGCTGCAGTGGCTTCTGTGAGCCTCACAGTGCAGTGCTTTAACCTGTTGTGCCACCAGGGAGAGCCAAGGACTTTTACTATGACTTTCTAACCAAATGTCGCTTATCGATTAGTTAGATAATTGTCCCTTCCCTTGGTGGATCATTAAACATTGGCAGGCCTGTTTGTGTGCCCTCTGTCTTGACCGCCTGGAATTAAATTGAAGCATGACCCAATTCCCATTTGCTCAGGAAACCAGAAGAACTGGTTTCCCTGATCTCAGAGACCTTTTCACCTTGTAATATTTTAAATCTTGTAATAATGAGCAATGCTTATGGGAGCTGTCTTTCACTTGTGATGTTTATTGTCATCTGCTTCCTCAGGTAGATGACCGTTTGATGCTGCTATTTCTCATGGAATTGATGGTGAAGAGAATAAACTGTCTAAGACTGGTCCAGAGAGGAGCCTGAACAGGAATGGTGCTGTAGGAACAAGTGCCCTGCCTGGCAGGGGATGCAGCATCCTTCTGCTCCACCTCATCATATAGACCTCTACTTCTTCATTGGGAAGGCCATCTAGGTTTTTACAGTCAGCCACCTAGAACTTTTGCTGCACCAAAATTAGACTTTTGCTGCTGAACTGAATGAGCTATTACTCCATTTTGATTTTGCATTTTTTAATCATCTGGACTTCAATTACAGTTGTTTTGCCTTGAGAATTTTAAGCCAGATTTGTTACTATTATTTTGTGTGCATTTTTCAAAATGATCGACTTAAGCTTCCTCACAGAGGAGGAGCAAGAGGCCATCATGAAGGTTCTGCAGCGAGATGCGGTCCTGAAGAGGACGGAAGAAGAGAGAGTCAGGTAAGGGGCCAGAGAAAATTTTGGCTTGGGGGAAAGAGAGACAGTCTCTAAGAAGATGAAATGCTTTCTTTTTCTCAACCATAAGTACTAGTTTTGACTTGGAGCCTGAACTTGTGGGTTCCAATTTTAGGTTTCCTTCCTGGATGGAACTCCTCCTTCATGTCTCTTAATTTATCCCACAGACTCCTGCCAGAAATAGAGTCTTGATTAAAAACCTAACTAAACTCCTTTAAGTAATTAAACTCAGAGTTAAAAATGAACATACAAACACGTACCTACAACTACACCCATATATAGATATGTATGTACATGGATGTGGGTGTATATGTATTTATATCCACTTACTTTTAACTGATTCATGAACCAAATTAGGAATATTTTAATTTCTAATTTAAATAGAAACATACCTCACATTACTTAAAGTATTTCAGTATTTGAATTGGTGTCAGAGACAATTTAAATCAACTCTGACTGCACCAGGGTTTTTTTGTGTTTGTCCCACAAAAAGAATGGCAACTTTGCCATTTGCAACAGTATGCTCTTTGGAAAGAACCCAAGTGTTCCATGTCAAATTCCTGCCACTTACACTCACCTATGAGGTAGAAATAGAACAAGATATGTTGCTGAAAAAATGGGCTAGAGCCTAGGTCCTGCCACCTATTACTTATGTAATAGTGGACTTTGAAAACAGTGAGGGGCTTCCTGTACTTACTGCATGCCTCCCATCCTATGAGTTATCTAAAAGGAGCATAAGCCAACTTTTTATTTCCTGGATGCAGCATTTCCCATATTTTGACCCTACTTGAACATGGATAGTTCATAAATGAATATGTTAAAATTCATTTCAAGTTCTCCAGATTATCTGATTATGGCTTTTAATAATATAGATAATGAAGAGAGAATTGGACCTTGGTATTAGGTACTTAAATTGCTTTCCCTGAGGAGACAATAGCATATGGACTATTTGGGGGCCAGCACAGTGAAGGGAGTGATTGTCTTGATGTGAGGCAGGACACTGAGTGGTAATGGTGACAGAAGATGGTTGCACGTAGTGGGTAGTAATGGTGACAGAAGATGGCTGCACGTAGTGGCGATGAGAATGCCTCCTTACTTGTCATGCTCCTCCCACACGTCAGTTTGCACCTGGGTGGGCCACTGTTCCCTGATCTCAACAGGTAGTGTACCTTGAGAGGTTTCCCCAAGAAGGACAGGGAGTTTGCCCTTATCAGCCATCAGAACCTCTTAGTAGCATTAACCCCCTGCCCATTCACAACATATAAAGCCCTTTCATTCATGTGGTCCGCTGATGCTCCTCACAGCAACTCTGGGATTTGCCAAGGCAGGACCATTAATGCCCAATTTAGAAATAAGGGGAGGGAAAAACACAGAATATATTAATTGATTCTTAAAGGGCTGTGGAAATGGAAATTCCTTTAGCCTCTCACAAGGCAAGGTAGAAAGATTTAGAAAGAAAGCAGGGAGCTGGGATTGCACTGGGCCCCTCTGACTACCTCAGGTGAAGGTCTGCAAAGCTGAGAGTACCATTGATTCTTCTGCTTAAATGCTACTTTGTAAGGTTTGTGGTTCCAACTCCTCTATCTAGTGAGGTTACCATTTCTTCACTGGCAACTTCCATGTAGCTCTTTGATTGTGTGAGTAGAAGAGACCTGCAGTAGTTTGCAAAAAATGCAAAGTTCTGCCTGGAACTAGACCTTGTAAAGGGTGTGAGTGTGAGCCTCTGGGACCTGCTGGTTTACCCCACAGAAGAAATACTGTACGCCCCTTTGTGGTGCCAGCTTGATGGCTCCTTCCACCTGCTATTTCTGAGTTGCTCCAGAAGCCACTGCTGGTTCTGTATTTGGTTATTTCTTTTGTAAGCTAATAGGAATAAGGGCTGGGTAGTGAGAAGTCTGGAGTGAATCCATCCCACCTACCACCACTATTCTGGGGTACTTTCTTATTGACTTGGGCACAGCAGGCCTGGAGCCTAGGGCCACAGGGAATGATAGTGGACAGGGAGGGCAGACAGTGTATACCTTCGCCTATGGACTTGGAAGAAGTTCCTCCCATAGCCTATTTCACATAAGAGGAGTCATGCTCTTACCTCCTCCTTGCTTCAGGACTGAAGGACTTGGGCTATTTCTGAGGTTGTTCTGGGCCAGTGGAACAAGAACTACATGTAGGTCTCTGCTCTCTGAAAATGCTATTCTGTGGACTTCTGTCATCTCCCAGCTGTTCTTTGCTTCTATAAGAGTTATAGCCTGACAGTGCTGGAAAAGAGATGTTTTCTTTCGTTATCAGTCACTTTACAGATAAAGATAAAGCCTAGAGAGGGGAAGTGACTTGCCTGGAATCGCAAAGCTAATCAGTACCAAAATCATGATAAGAAAAACTCTTGATCCAGTACTTTCCCCTCACCCCCATGCTGCTCATCTGTACTCTCAGAACAGTAAGGGTTCTATCATGACCTAGGGAGCTTTTAACTACCAGCATGAACCTTAGACTCAAAACAGTCGTGATCTGTGGTTCATTGGGTAATTTACTTAATTTCCTGAACTCCAACTAAGACACTGGGAAAACCATAATACTAAAAGGATTAAAGTCAGAATTAAGTAAGGTAAATTTTAATTTTCTTAGTACATAACAGGTGATGCATACATTTTAGTTCTCCTATTCACCACTCCACCTGTCTATAAAAGGATTAAATCTCTGGTTAGTAGTCTGATTCCTCAGGAGGAGATTACTCCTGAAACCCAGTTATTTCAGTGAAATTTAATTGAGCACCTATTAAACATTTATGTCTGACAAGTCTACTTGTTTTAATCTCTGATTAAGTGCACATCTCTGAAGAAATGATGTGAAGGGAAGTCTAGGGCAACTGAAACATAGCCCCACATCTCAAAGAATGATAAAGGCCTCTTCATTGATTGGTTTGTATTTTGCATATTTATTTCTTTTTATTAAATATTTATTTATTTATTTATACAGTACTGGGATATAGGCCAGAGATGCGGAGGGTGAGAGGATTCACCAGAGACAGAGTGGGGAGCAGAACAGGCAGATCGAGGAAGTACACTGCTGAGAGGAGCAGCAAGTGGGTCAGGAGAGGTCAGTGGCGCCATGTGGAGCTCTTCTGGGGCAAGTGGGGATTGAACTCATGCGGAAGTGGCGTAAGCTTCTTAGTGCAGTGCTTTAACCCGCTGTGCCACCAGGGAGGGCCTATTATGCATATTTAAAGCCTCAGCTTTGTTTCCCTCATATAATTTTCCAGTGCCCCAGTCTGTCAAAGTGGCATGTAGCTGTAGAAAAATAAATTGTGTAATTACAATATTAACATAAGTAAAAAACTATCAGAAAGGCAAACCTGTCACTAAAACTCAGACTATTCTTTCCAATGCATGATGGACTTGAGAGCATGACTCTGAGATAACCATAAGGGAATCACTAATGAATTACAGCATTGTTGTCTACTAAGAACAAATACTGCCCAGAATCCTTTTCTATATGAATGTAGATATAATTCAGCATTCAAATCTAAATCCCCTTGCCATTCCTGGTACCAGGGCTTGGATTTACCTATATCCAAGCTCATTTAAGACACCGTGGAGATGGTTTATCTATAGGTTACTGTTGGACCAGGGCCCCAAGCCCAGCCAGATTCTTTCTGGTTGCCAGCAAACAGAAGAGCCAGGGAACCCTGTGCAGTTCTAACAATATCTCTATTGCAGCAGCAGGAAATAAGATACAAAGATGGCTGCAGGCGCTACAACAGAGGCCACAGAGGCAGCAGCTGGGAAATGTGGCACTGTGAGGAGTCCCCTGCTGTCTTTTTATACTTTCAAGGACAAAGTTGACACAGGGCCGGATTTATGCCTAGGTTACATAAGTGTATTTTCATACATGTAAGCTATGCATCAAGTTTACACGCATGTCCTACCTTTCATGCAGAAGGACTGTATATCAAGTTTACATGTCATAACTAAACATCAAGGTTACATGCTATCCGCTAAGCCACCTGAGTCTGGAGGCCACAGTGAAAACAGCCTGAGAAACTGTTTTTTCACTGTCCCTATAGTTACCTCCCACCCTGATTTCATAGGTCAGAAAAATGAGTTCATATAGGGAAGTGTCCAGTTCTCAAATCATTCATGGTGCAAATAGGGTCTGAACACAGGGAATAAACACTAGGGTGTTTCTGGGGTACAGTTAGAGGGTAATGGTTCTAGGTCACTATTTCCCTTGCAACTCTTTCATACTAGACCTGGTTATTACCAAGCACACCAGCTTGGCTCTCTGATTACCAGCCGGACACAGTCACTGTCCTGTGCAACATACATAAAGATAGGTTCTTTTTCAGTCTCTCTTTCTCTCTGTTTTAAGGCAACACCAGTATAGATACAGATATATAATTTTAGTCTTTTTAAAAAAAATATTTATTTTATTTCAGTCTCTCTTTCTCTCTGTTTTAAGGCAACACCAGTATAGATACAGATATATAATTTTAGTCTTTTTTAAAAAAAATATTTATTTACTTTTGCATATAGACTGGGGTACAGGCTAGAGGTGCAGGGATGGTGAGAGGATTCACCAGAGACAGAGTAGGGAGCAGAACAAGCAGAGTGACGAAGTACACCGCTGAGGGGAGCAGTGGGACAGACAGGAGAGGTCTGCCACGTCATGTGTTTCACCTTCAGGGTGGGGATGGAACTCACACCAAAGAAGCTGTGGCTAGCTTTGTAGTGCTGTACTTTAACCCACTGCACCACCAAGGAGGGCCGTATAATTTTAGTCTTTTATGGTTTGAAAATTACACAGTCTAGAGGTGGTGTTTCCTTTGCTTTGCCTCACATTGGCAGCAGGAAATTGTTGCCCATGTGCCTCTGCTCATCACCTGTTCTGTGTCTGCACTCTATCCCCCCCTCCCGCCCCCCCCACTGCATCTAAAGCAGTGGACATACACAGTAGATACCATCTCAAACACATATCTTATGATTCTCAGCTGCTTCCTAAAGACCTAATTTCTTTTAAATGAAGGCAGTTGTCATTGAAAAACTGCTTTCCAGAACTGGTGGTGTTTTCTGTCAAAGCAAAGGGGTAAGAAACCAACCTTTGTTCAGGGAACTAAATTGTACACAGGGCTTTACACTTACTTATCTCTTTCATCCTCAAGACCGCAGCTGCACCTATTGAATGATGCAGAAGTAGGGTGAAGAGGATCGTGTCCTGCAAGATCTAAGTCTGGCTTATCAATCAGCCAAACCTGCACCTCCCCACATGGTGCTGACGTGGGGATCATTACATGTCCACACAAGGGCTGCACTTTCCTCTCATTTCCACCTTATAAGGAAAAATTTGTTGTTTATTTCATTTTCACATGTTGGTTTTCAGATTTTCCATCGAATATTGAATTCCTCTGTGAAGCATGATTACCATCTTAGAAACCAAAGGCATGTGTGGCTGAGGGAGGATGGGGTGGTTGGAAGAGTGTTGGCAGGAGTCAGGCTGGTTTCCTTTCCCAGCTCTGTGTGACCTGGAGCAAACCTCTTAACTTTTCTGAGGCTCAGTTTTTCATCTATAAAGTGAGGCCACTTGTCAGTGTTTAAGGTCCTTTGTAACATTCACATTCAAAACAAACACCTAAGAGTACTTTCAAATCACATAGTTTGACCATATTGCCCCGAATATACTGAGAGTTTAAAAAGAAAGAAAAAATGCCAGGGATTGAACCAACCTCTCTGGCCAGCCTGCTGATCCCCTTATCTGCAGTTGACTTGAGAGTTTCAGGTAGGTACTGCCTGTAATGTTAGGGTTTTACTTAATCACAATGACTAGCTGGAAGCTGGACATGCTATGTAAGTACAAAATGGTTAGGGAGTATGCTGAATGAAAAGTGTGGAAGCCAAGATGGAGGGTTTCACTGCTCTTTGGGATTCTCCCTGTTCACACTGTCTGCAGTGGTAGTTGACAGTGATAGTTAGAGCTGTAGATGTTACTATTTCAGGTATAGTTCTAAGCATATACCAGATAGATAAAGAGGATTAATGAATTAGTGAATGAACAAATGAGCAGATGTGACCTTTAACATGTAGAGAAGGCAAAATAGCCATCTTTTGCTCTGTATGTCTTGCTGAAATTGTAAAGATTAAATGAGGTAATGCACGAGCCAAATGTGGCGCCTGGGGCAAAGTGAATATGTTTTCTGTGTTAGCAGAGGAATGGGGGGCATGGCATGACTGGCATGTTGTGTCTGCAGGGCAGCAGAACAGTGGCTTCTCTGGGCCCTCCTGCTTCCCTCCAGCTGTTCAGTGTTTACGGAGCATCTGCCTTAGCTCTCGTCTAGAAGTGACGGTAGGCAGGTTACTGAGCCATAGTCTTTGGAAGGGACAAAATGTGTGAATCACTAGACATTTGCCTTCTTCCTACTTTAACTAAATGTCATAACAATTAGAGAATAAATTGTTAATTTGGCTGGAATGAGTTAAGTAAAAATGAGAGAGCAGGCCCTCCCTGGTGGTGCAGCGGGTTAAAGCACAGCACTGAGAATCTAAAGCTGCTTCCTCATGAGTTCGATTCCCGCCTGCCCTGGAGGTGACCACATGGCGCGGCAGACCTCTCCTGACCCGCCCGCTGCTCCCCTCAGCAGTGTACTTTGTCGATCTGCCTATTCTGTTCCCCACTCTGTCTCTGGTGAAGCCTCTCACTGCCCCTGAGCCTCTGGCCTGTACCCCAGTTCTGTATGCACAAATAAATAAATCTTAAAAAAAAAAATGAGAGAGCAACATGGTCTGATAGAAGATTTTAACATAACATATGTGGTGATATTAATGGTCTACATCATTATAAAACTGTGTTTTCATGTCACACATATGAGTTCATTTGTAAAATATTCCAAATGACTTAAATAGACAAAAATGGACTAAGCCTAGCAGTGATTATTACAGTAGGAAATTTATAAATGACACTTCATGAATTTGAAATAATTTCTTATCCATTTTCTACTATAAGAGAAATGAACCAGAAACTCAACCTTACATAATGGCTTCCAGCCTTCCCATATGCCATGTGGTCCTGTGAGCTGGTCTCACGGCCTGTGCTCGTGGTGAATTGAAAGTAGAGCATGACCAGAGCCTTGTGGACAGTCATGTAAGCAGAAACAGATCAAGAATTGCTCAAAAACTCTTATAAAATGTCTTTTAGTTGAACAACAAAAATAAATACCCTCATGAAGAGAAATCAAGAGTTATTATGCCATGAGGATTTGTGGTCTCTTTCAAAATGATGACTAATGCCATAGTTTATTTCCTAGTCTGCCTCCAGGAGAAGGCACAGGCATTGGGATATAGTGTAATTCATTTAACCCCAACAGTGATGGGATCTTTCTTATCTCAAGCTGGGTGATGGCTGAGCATTTGTTTGTTCTTTGATAGATTCATTCAACAAACAGTTTTTCAGTATCAGCTGTGTGCCAGGCTCTATGCCAGGTGCTGACATTACAAAGGTGATTAAGATACAATTTTCACCTTGAAGGACTTTGCAAAGTTCACAGATCAGTGGGCAAGACAGACAGGCAGATACGCAAATAAACATGGTGGGCCAGGCTTGTCATAGAGGTGCTGCTGAGAGCATGGAGCAGAGCTGGCTAAACTGTACCTGGGGAATCAGGACAGGTTCCCCTGTGGAGGAGAGGTGCACTCACTGCATCTAAGGGATGAGGACAACATGCTGTACAGAGCAATGAGGGGAAGCTATCCTAAGAGCATTCACTTTCCTTGGCTTCTTACCAGGATTCAGGTACTGTTAGGTACTTCAGGCAAACACTTCACTGAGTCATCCCAACAGTCCTGCAGAGTTGATCTTATTTTCCCATCTTTACAAACAAGGAGACTGTCAAGAGAGGCTCAGTAACCTGCCCACTGTCACTTGTAGAAAATGTGAGCCTGGGATAAGGAGCTAATTTAGGGAGACTCTGAAGCCTATAGTCTTTGCCACACTTTCTTATTTCTAACGTTTACAGAGTTCATGAAAGAATTTGGAGAACAGTAAGAAGTCTAGTGTGTCAACAGGTTAAGTGCTGGAAAATGAATTAGAAAAGGTGACCTGGAGTCAGGTGTTGTTTCCTACCATATTCCTTCATTCCACAGCACTGGATGAATTCCAGACAAGAGACAAAGATATGCTGAGTGCAGGTTAAGGCCCATTCTCTAATCTGGGAGAACTGGAAGGACTTCTTTCTTCTGGAATTGAACTCTGGAATAGGGGGAAAAAAAGGCAAAAACTCTACCAGTAACCCAGATGGCCTGTTTACATTGGCTATGTCTTAGGCAAATGAAACCTTAAGAAATGTTTAATAAAGAACCATGACTCCTATGAACCTCAGAACCTTGAGGTGATGACATTGTCCCTGTCAGGTTTGGTGATGGGCTGTCATTACAACATGTGTCCAAAGGCTCTGACTAGCCATGTTTGGGAATGGGTCAGCTCTTCCTGGTAGTTGATAGAGGAAGAAAAGTTCTAGTGGAGAGCTGGACGCTGGGTGGAGTGACATCTCCCAGGCACCACTCTCACTTCCTCTGTCCTGAGTCTGCCTGCATGCCACCTTATATACTGTCTGGTTAGAATACTTCGACTGGCTACTTTAAAAATTTTGTACATTAGTTTGAATGATCTTCATAAAACCTTCTTGGATTTTTGTAGCATGCTATCTTCTGAGAGTTCAACATGACCTTAAGGGCTTTTATACTATCTTATTTTAAGTACCTCTGTAAGTAAGAAAAGATAGAACTGTGATTTTCATGCTATTGAGATGGGCAGAGAGACGCTGGGGCTAGACTTGTCAAGTACAGCAGTATTTTTCCAGCCAGGGTAAATTAGGGAGGATTTCAGAGGGTAACATTTGGCTTATTATTTTGGTTTAAGCTTTTCAAAAGAATATGAATGTTTGTGGAACCCTTAAAACATGATCTGCAGAAATGGGATTTGCTTCTGCCTCTATATTCACCATACATTTGATCTCCTCTAACTCCAGCCTGCCTTTTTTGCTACTCATCTGCCTAATATTAAGCATGAGGAACATCATGCTTTCTTTTCTGCAGGTTACTAAGTCTGATAAACTATTTTCACTGAAATTTCAAGAAAGAATTGATAACATCCCTTCCAGCTGTTCACTGAGTGTTTATTAGGTGCCAGACATGTGCAGGGCAGTTTACCTGCAGTAGCCAATTTCATCTTCATCACCTCTCCCTGAGTTGGGTATTAGTATTGTCCCTCTTCCAGGTTAGGAAGCCAAGGTTTACAGAGGCTTAACATGTCATCTCTGCATGCATGGGGCATTTGCATTTGGACAGTAGATACAAAAAACTTCAGCCAAAAAGTAAACCTGCTTTTGAGAAACTTCAGGCATCATCTGAATATTGTGGTTTAAATCTTTGAATTTTCAAAAATGTTGGCGTTGATTTCTCTGACTTTTTAGTCAAGGGGGAATATACACATGTTAGTCATTGTGGCATCTTCTAAAATATCACAAGCTTCATTTTGGCTGTATGTTTACAAATATCTTTGTGCAGTTTCGCAGTGAACTCATTTATTTACTGTGGCTCTCAGCAAAGTGACGCTCTTTTCCTTTTGTAGACATTTGCCTGAAAAAATTAAGGATGACCAGCAGTTGAAGAATATGAGTGGCCAGTGGTTTTATGAAGCCAAGGCAAAAAGGCACAGAGACAAAATCCATGGTGCAGACATCATCAGAGCATCCATGAGAAAGAAGAGGCTTCAGGTAGCAGGTACGTTACATTGACTCAACATTTATTTGGGAAGAAGGAATCAGGGCAAGGGAGGGTTTAGATTTGTTACTGAAGTGTGAGGGAAATCATCTGAAGGTATGCTTTGCATAATGTGTACGAGTCCTCTAGCTGAAAATCTTCTTACTCTGGATCCAAATTGATGGCAGCAGGAGGAAGTGACTCAGTGCCACAGAAAAAGAACATAGGAACCTCTTTCAATGACATGTTGAGTTGTAGTAGATCAAACAATTTAGGTTTCTAAAGGATCCACCACTTCTTCTTTCCTTGGCTCTTTGAAGATTCAGGATATTTGGAGAGGATAAAGAGCTTAGACAGAGATTAGTCTCCCTGTTCAGTGACCTTTAACATCTGTTAACTTCATTACATCAAGACTGTAAGCCGTATTTCAAGGGATTTAGAATTCTTTTGAGTTTATTAAATACTTATAGCATGACTTCTCCCTAATAACTCTTGATTAGTCACAAACATTTACCCTAGGAGACAGCCCCAGGCTGGCATCAGCCTGTAATCAATAAGGCAAATAGCTATCACCATATGAGCATCTGATCTATAGTAGGTACTTTCTGTCTATTATTTATAAGTATAGCTTCAATCTTATAAAACTGATCATTATTTCCATTCTATAGGTGGGGTATATAAAGTTCAGAGAAGTAAAATAACTTGTCCAAGGTCATAGCTGGCACTCGGAAGAACTATAATTACAGTCTTTCTGATCCTGAGCCACACTCTTTGCACATAAGAGCTGACTGCTTAGTATGTGTCATGTGATATTTGTGGTTCTCTTGACACAGATTTTAAGGGGTACAAATTCGCACTGTAAACTCCTTTTACAGTTGAAGAAATTAGACTTATGTGTAAAGAGACCTGTGGGGAACACCACCGTGGAATGCATGTTTCTAGAAATTAGGAGCCCTTAAATATTACTGCACCTTCCTACCATGGATGAAAGTTTCCCTGGATTTTACTGGCTGTATGGCCAAGTTTCTTAAATTCTCTGATTCTCAGTTTCCAAATCTGTAAACTTGGAAAATAGTCTCTCCTCATAGGATAGTGCATGCAAAAAGCTCAGCATTGTGCCTATCACATAGTTGATACTAGTTTTCTGAGAGGTGCAGATAAAGAGCCCTGAGTGTTCAGAAATAAAGGAGCTTATTTCCTGAAGTGGGAGTACACAGGACCCTGGAGCCTCAGCTGGATATTGACTGTAGAATTTCAGTTAATGTGTACAGACTGGGGTGAGGGGGAGGCAGTAAAGAGGGATACTCTACAGCAGAAGCATTTGTTTCCCTTGGCTCTCAGAGCCTGTATCTGAGTTGAACACATTGTAGATATTTAGTAAATGCTTGATAATGGCAGTGCTTCCCATGAGCATTATGGCCCTTAGCCTCCCCTGGCATACACATTTAATCTTGAACCCCATTTAGGTCAGGTTTGCCTGCACTTTAAAAAAAAAAAAATTTAAGATTTATTTATTTGCACTTACAGAACTGGGGTACAAGCCAGAGGTGCAGGGGTGGTGAGAGGATTCAGACAGAGTGGGGAGCAGAACAGGCAGATCACAGAAGTATACTGCTGAGGGGAGCAGCAGGTTGGTCAGGAGTGGTCTGCTGCGCCATGTGGGTCACCTTTGGGGCAAGCAGGGATTGAACTCATGCAGAAGAGGCTTTAGCTTCTTAGTGCTGTGCTTTAACCCACTGCGCCACCAGGGAAGACCTTTTTTTTAAATTTTTTTTTAATTTTAAAATTTATTTTACATAATTCTTCATTTTATGCCTTTTTCCATCTTAATTGTAATCCCTGTGGACTTCCTACCACCAGTTCACCTATGTGCCATCACCATAGTCCTGTGCAACATTCCCACCTCATTTTTTTTTTTTTAAGATTTATTTATTTGTGCATATAGAACTGGGGTACAGGCCAGAGGCTCAGGGGCCGTAAGAGGCTTCACCAGAGACAGAGCGGGGAACAGAACAGGCAGATCAATGAAGTACACTGCTGAGGGGAGCAGCGGGCGGTCAGGAGCGGTCTGCCACGCCATGTGGTCACCTCCGGGGCAGGCGGGGATCGAACTCATGCGGAAGCGGCTTTAGATTCTCAGTGCTGTGCTTTAACCCGCTGAACCACCAGGGAGGGCCCTCCCACCTCATTTTTAATCACATTCCTCATTCTACCCCTGTAAAATGCCTCATTGTTTTTTCATTTTTTCTTTCTTCCTTTTTTTTTTTTTTTTAAGATTTATTATTCTGATCCTGAGTATCAGACTCATTGGTGACTGCCTTGGCACTCAGGAGGAAGGCCTGAACTTCAAGTTTGAACCTATGATAAGGGCTGATATGAGGATTGTAGTTCATAGAGTTAAAAGATAACCTTCCAAGCCCTGCCTGGTGGCACAGTGGGTTAAGGCACAGCACTGCAAGTGAACTGCAGCCACCTCAGTGTGAGTTCCATACCCTGCCTGTCAACTGATCCACATGGCGCAGCAGACCTCTCCTGTCTCACCTGCTGCTCCCCTCAGCAGTATACTTCCTCAATCTGCCTGTCCTGATCCCTACTCTTATCTCTGGTGAATCCTCTCACTGTCCCTGTGTCTTAGGCCTGTACCCCAGTTCTATATGCATAAATAAGTACATCTTAAAAAAAAAAAAAAGATAACCTTCTTAATTTTATTTTTTCCTGTTTCAGCTGAGCAGAACAAGGACAAAGATAATGAGGCAAAGGAAAGCTGGGTGAATAATATCAACAAAGATGGTTTCCTTCCCCCAGAACTAGCCGGTGTTGTAGAAGAACCAGAAGAGGATGTGGCATTAGCAAGCTCAGGGTAAGACAGAGCTCTTGGAGAGAGCTGTGGCCTGTGGGGTTCACAGTTGGTCTATGTGTGTGAACTGAGTGTAGATCCAGACTGAATTCATGGGCAAGGGAAAGGAGCAACACATGGGAGAATGCTAGGTCCTGATGTGAACAAAGTTGTAGTAGGACTCTTTCCTAGCTTCTTGAATTTCTAACATTTGAATATTAGGTAAAATTAAAATACTAAGTGATATTTTAAATCTACCAACAATACTTATTATTTATTTATACTAAGTATTTCTCCTTACAGTAAAATGGTGAGGTCCTCCAAAGTGAATGTCATTATTTCAGAGAAGAGATGAGTTATGATCAAATTGTAGCGACCTTGTAGAATGAAAGAAACCCAAGCATGGAATCAGACACATGAGAATTCAAACCCTGGATATGCCTTTAGCTACTTGAATATGTAGAAATCATATAACCTCTTTGAATCTATTGTAATCTTAACTGTAGACAAGAATTGTAATAAAATCTGGGAGAAGCTAACGTGAGAATTAGTGAAAATCTCTGCAGAATATCTGGCACATAGTAGATAGCCAGTAAAAGACTCTTTACAATGCAGATTTGTTACAGGGCAACCCAAAGTGAACTGGGTTGTTTGTCTGGTCCTCACCCATGTGCTTAAGATTCAACTGCACTGCAGATACACATAAAAAGGTCAATAATGGGTTTATATACAAGGGGGAAAGAAAAGGAACAACCCAGGGAAAGAGAGAGAGAGATACAAGTTAACTAATGTGTCCTACCAGTTCCGCTGAGTTGGAACCCCAGTAGCACACTGAAAGCTGATCAAGAGCCAAGCAACCAGCCTCCAGCCATGAGGCCAAGGGAGAGAGAGCCTCAGCCCAATATGTCTGCCTTTATAGCCCAAAATCTCAAAATGGCTTCTTAACTCCATCCTTGGATCCTAGCAGTTGGTGTTGCTGAGAGTCATAGTTTTGGTGTCTGGAGTGCGGGTGGAGTCCACAAAGCTCTGTAGAGTTTTTCAGGATATCCTTTCCCTCTAACAGAATGACCTTAATATTTGTCTTGATTTTGGGAGCTTCCAACACATGTGATCATCTGGCCAACTAAAAGGTCCATGTGTACATGCTTCCTATCAAGTAACTGATTATGGGGCCATAGTCACACAAACCTTTCTGAGTTAGGATGATTTCCTTTTAGGTAGTTAAGGGTCTTCCCATTGATATTCATCCACTAGAGATTTGGTGTTACCCTTTGGTGGGAAGGCAATTGCATATTTCCTCTGGCTCCTAATGAAGACAGTTCAACTTGGTTTCTAGTAGGATGAAGTTGATGAATTTGCTGATGGGAAAGCCACTGAGTCAGTGCTAGTGCTGAGGCACTTGGGGAATAGTGATATTTTGACATAGTGTATTAAAGAGGAAGAGGGTTTATCTTGCAAGCACCAGTAGGCATTTTGGAGCCAAATATTAGTAAAGTTATGCCACATGGATAATGGAATGTCAGTTCTATTCTATCCCATTCTTCGTACATTTCCCTGGCGATCACTCACTTTGTTTTCTGTGGGTGGTAAATTGCACCATTTCCATTCTGGGATGATTTATAATCTTGTATTATATCTGTGGAGGCCATGTTGGCTAGAGGTTAAAACAATTGTAATTACACATTGATTCTGTCAGCTTGCTTTAGAAGTGACTTAACTCCTTGGGCCTTTGTTTCCTCAGCTGCAATTTGGGGATAACAATAGTTAACTAGCAAGATGAATGAAAATTTAATTAACTGGTGAATATAGAATTCTTAACACAGTCAAAACCCACATAGTAGGTTCTCAATAAATGGAAGAACGAACTCTCTCTAGCTCTCTCATACACACACATATTTCAGGAAATTCAGGAAAATATGTGTGTAATACCCTACCCCATTTCCCTTGGCAAATCCCCGTCTACCTGATGCCTGCAATCCCCTTACATGGATGAAGGCATTTCTTCCACAGGGAAAGGTTAGGCTATAAATACTCCAGGAGTGAGAATAGTCATTTTGATCCCCTACTGAGGAGGTAAGAACAACTAGTAGGGAGTTTAATGTGGGCTGGGGTTACCTGAGCACTGGGGTTATCTGAGGAAAGCAGATGGGAAAAGGGATGACTTGGGTTACCAGAGACAAACTTAGCTTATTGCTCAGTTTCACCTATCTCAGACTTCCCATTTTCCTAGGATCTCATTTTTATAAAGATTTATTATTTATGCATACAGAATTAGAGTAAAGGCTAGAGGTTCAGGGGTGGTGAGAGGATTCACCAGAGACAGAGTGGGAGCAGCGGACAAGGCAAGAGAGATCTTCTGCACTATGTAGGTCACCTCCCTGGCCACTGGGCATGGAACTCATGCTGATGTGGCTGCAACTAGCTTAACAGTGCTGCACTTTAACCTGTTGCACCACCAGTGAGGGCCCAGGAACTCATTTCATCTCATCTTGTGAGATAGAAGTAGCACTGCACTCAGAGCCTCATTCAGGTGTGGCTGGGGGGTATTCCCCTCTCGTCCTCAATTTGAGAATATTAGTATTTCCTCCATAATTTCTGTCTGTATTGTTTTCTGCATTCCTGTGTGGCCTCAGATGAGTCTCTTGGGTCTTCCATAACAGTAAAGATGTCATGAAATTAAATGAACTGAGGTATGGGTACCACTTAGCACTTCTCAGAGAGAAGGGAAATTAACAATTTCTAGGTGACTTCATAATTATGTTATTACACATGGGGGGAGGGGTGTATGGCTGACAAGAGGTATCCAGCATGTTTGGTTCATGATGTGGGATGAATGGTAATCTCCAGAATTAGAGGAAACTGTGTTCACTGCCTCATTTCCACACAGAAATGACTGTTTTGCCCTGTAGCATGTTCCTGCCATGTTTCTCACCTCTACTTTAACCTTTGAGAAAGGGGTGTGTTCATGTATGTTTGGGCCTATGCATTTAGACTAAGTGAGCTTCAATAGACTGACTCATATCTGTCAATATTTTCTTAACCAGGAGTCAGATTATGAGGCAACAGTGACTGGATATTGCTGTTTCTGAGGGAGCTTTTCTGTTAAGCTCTGTGATCACATATCTTCTTTCTGTTATGGGCACAGCTGTGTGGGGCTCTTCCTGTAAAGAACTGAACCACTGTGGTGCCTGGCATACGTGCAAGCATTGGGATCAATCTGTGCCCTTTTGGAATGCATCTTTGTGCCTGGAGCAAGAAGAAGCAGAGAGGTTTGATGAACGGAGGCGCAGAGAACAGTAGTCCCTTTAGAGCAATTAAAGGGAAAACTCCCAAATGCTCACAGTTCTATTTACTGCAGTTCATTAGAACAGCAGTTCATTAGAACAAACTGTGCCAATGAACCAGCGGTTTGAATTTTTTTTTAATTATTATTTATTTATTCCGGAGTTTGAATTTTATTTTAAAATAGAATCATCAAGGATTGTTACTTTCTATAAAATATAATAAAAATAAATATTTAAAAAATCAGGAAAACAACAATGATGTGTAAAATATAAACCTGCAGGTCATGAATGGGGATGCCCCAGACAGTTTCTATAAATGATCCGGAACACATACTTAAATTATATACTTCTCTCACTGTGAACCAGTAGTGAGTAAACAGTTCATGCAGTAGTACTGGTCCATGAGCACACATTGCTAGTCTGTCGTGATCCCCCACAAATTAGTGTGGAACATGTACACAATGCTCCATAGGATGTGGCTTAGCCAACGTGGAGAGTACATGATGAAGTTGTGAAACTGCCCATGGGGCTCAGGTACCCATGATTGGGGTAACATGTTATGAATGGGAGGGATGAGAAGCCCCTCCTTTGTTAGGTGATGAGCTCTGTGAAACAAGTTTGGTTGCTCTAGGCAACACTGATAGTTTAGTAGCCTCTCTGCTGACCAGGGTCTCACATGTCCCTGCTAATGGTACTTCCTTGGCCTGAAGAAGCCGGGATGTGGACAGACCTTTTAGTTTCTCTTTCTCTATTCTCTTCCTTTAATTAAGCTTCTCTGAGAACTGATTTTCCTGCTACTTGTATTGTCTTGGCTTCATGGCCATCTCTGACCTCTAAAACTATGATCGTTTTCAAGTGTGTTCCAAGCTTCTTGCTCTTTTTCTCTCCTAGTGTCTCCTCCCCAGTCCCTATGCCACATCTCTCATATGCCTGGTAGCCTCCTTTCTCCTCTGAAGGGAACTAACATGCATTCCACCCCAAGAAATATTTGACTTCTTAACAACAGACCTGCATAGATAGAAGACTTGAACTCTTTTCCTTTCTTAATGGTCACTTTATGAAATGAGTTTGAAATGCTTGTATCACCTTTATCTTCTGATATTTTGCACGTGTGAGAACTCACAAATGAAAGAGATCAGAGTCTGTCATGTTCCTGGCCTCAAACTGTGCAGACATTTTGCTAATTCCTGATGGTTTCTAAGACTGAAGAATTACCCTTATAATGCATCCTTAGAATACAGGAAGCAAGCTCTTAGTGAAAGGAGGTTTTGGGGTTTTTTTTTTAAAGGTTTATTTATTTTTGGATACAGAACTGGGGTACAGGCCAGAGATGCAGGGGTGATGAGAGGTTTTACCAGAGACAGAGTGGGGAGCAGAATAGGCAGACTGACAAAGTACACTGCTAAGGGGAGCAGCAGGCAAAACAGGAGAGGTCTGCTGTGCCATGTGTGAAACCTCCTGACCAGGAATCAAACTGGCACTGAATTGGCTGCAGCTAGTTTTATAGTGCTGCTTTTTAACCTGTTGCAGAGGGCTATTTAAGGGTAAGGAATATCTCAGTGCCCTGATGTCACAGGAAGTAGATGGTAACCTATTCTAACTGTATATAAACCAGCCCCAGTAATAGATATCATCGGTCAGATGTCAGTGACTAATTTTGCAGAAGTAGCAGGAGATACTGTAATCCATCCTGAGCCATAGGTTGAAGACTTGGGGAAGCTAGAAGAATAGCAGTTTAACAGTGAGATATGAATAAAAATGGGGAGGAACAATTATTAATCTAAGACCTCCCTGGTGGCCTAGGGGTTAAATTCAACAGTATGACTGTGACAGCTTGAGTTCTGTCTCCTGCCAAATGGCACAGAAGACCTCTCCTGGCTCACCCACAGCTCCCCTCAACAATGTATGTCAGTAAATCTGCCTGTTCTGCTCCCTACTCTGTCTCTGGTGAATCCTCTCACCCCCTGCACGTCTGGCCTTTATCCCAGTTCTTATATGCAATGAATAAATCTTTAAAAAGAAATCATTAATCATAAATTGGTGACATTTACTTTCAGGATATTTATTTGAAATAAACTGTTTAAATGCCATTGTTTGCAATTTACTGAAAACACTGACTTAAGATTTTCTTAGCACCCTTTAGAAAATCTGTAGATCTACCGATCCATTCTTTATTCAGTCAGCAGTTATTGAGTATATATTGTATGCAAGATGGTGGCAAGGAAATCAAAGATGAAGAAAATAATGTGTCCTATCCTTGAGGAATTCATTGTTTGTAGTAGGGACCGACATGTGTAACCATAAATAATGATACAATGTGATAAAGTGTTGTCTAAAAATTATGGGAGCACTAAAATAGTACACTGAATGAGTTCAGAGTGCTTGGGAAGGAATTTCAGGGAAGTATCTAGAGATAAGTCATGTTTGGTATAGTCCTGAAGGATAAAAAGGAGGATGTTAGCTAGACATAGGGAGAGGACAATCCAGGCAGATGGGCCTGATGGGGCTTAACCTACAAGTGGTTTAGTATGGCAGATATGAGTGGTAGGCAGTGCTGTTGAAACAAAAGACTGGGACCAGGCCTAAATGTTGGGCAGAAGGCTGAACTTTTCCCTCTAAGTCTCAGGGAGTCACCAAATGACCTTTTATGAAAGTTTCCATTGATATGACTGTGTGGAGGATGAGGTCAGACAATTCAATTAGGACATTGTAGGAAAAGTTTAGGTGAGGGAGGGTGAGAATCTAATCAAGGAAGTGAAGGAAGGGGAAGCATGACAGTTTAGGTAGAAGATTATAAGAAATTTGAGGTACTTGTACACATGACATATCTAAAAATTGGTTTGGGATGTGTGGCATTCTTAATAACAGGTTCTCATCTATGACTTATATGTTATAACTGCCCGAGGAACTTGTAAAAATCCACATTTCTAGGGCTGAGCATCATTGCATTGCTTTCTCAGGATTGAAGGTCTGAGTCTTTTTGCAACTTTATCCCCAATCTAACAATGTATGTACCACACACAGCAATTAGCAATCTGGCATTACTTGACATAATAATACATTTTTAAGGGAGGGTGATACAGATTTTATTTATTTTTGTTTATTTTTTAATTTTAAAAATAAATTCATTACTTCATCCTTCATTTTTGTAGAAGGTAGGGTTTTACTGTGAAATTCCCACCACCATTTCACCTGTGCACCATCACCAGAAAGAACAAGAAAAATATCAAATGTTCTCACTTATAGGAGGAATAGAGAATACAAAATAAGAGAACAGAGAAAATGAAAAAAGGAATCAGAAAAAAGTAACTATAATAAAGTAAAAATCAAAATCATCAGACAACTATAGATTAGATATATTCTGTAAAGAGAAGGGAGAAGGACCAGGACAGGGGTGGGAAAGCACAAGGGATTATGGTAATATTATAGTTTTTTACTGTTCCTTCCCCCCAGATCCATGAGGAAAAAGACTTTCTGTTTGTTGCTAGGTTTTGCCTCATTCATTACCTTGTTTTGAACAGTGCCCAAGTGTTCAAAGTGAGCAAGTGTTTTTTTTTTTTTTTAAGGATAGTTACATATTTTTATTACATAAACATTTTAATACTCCTTGAGGGGAAATGGTTTTTAGTTTGCTTCTTGCTTTCATGGAATGTCAATATTCTATAGAAGAATGATTAATGAAGCAAACATTTCCCACCCCACTACAAAAACCGCATTGCCTAAATTTTCCAAGCAGATTCCTGAGAAAATAACAGGTCTTGTTTATTTTATAGTGTAATAACATACATTTTTAAGATATAAAAAAGGACAGACTTCTAAAATACGGTCTCCTTTTGTTTACAAAGTCCTAGAAAAATACCTTAAGTATGCTCATGTGTTTGACCTTGACTTCATATTCCAGTTTACCAGAAACAAAAACTAATGACAAAGATAATATGTAAACCACATTAATCTTGCAGCAATACAATGTCAACATCATCATGAACGCCTTGCAAAAGTAGCTCTCCTTGGTACGTGACAATCTTCCTTCGTTTTGCAGCTTTGAGAGTTCCTACCAATGCTTCAAAAAGATTGGCACATTTGTCATCTCGGAACAGGACCCCAAATTTCACACTTAACTTTCCATCAGCATTTTTTGAGCCCAGCCGGTGAATTTCCTCCACTAAGAGGTTAACCTCATGATCCACATTCATTGCTGCCTCTCCGCCTCCTTGTCTTTTCCAAAGGATTGGTGCAGCCGGGGTCCCAGCCCGCGTGTCTTCTTCAAGCTCTGGGGAGGAAGGGGCTAAGGAAGGAAGTGACTGAAGCGAAGAGAAAGGCTGTTACGGAGGAGGAAGGGGAGGAGGAGAATGGTGGGGGAGTGAACAAGTGTTTTATGAGGTGAATGAGTAAAGACTAGGTGGAAAGTGAGAGAGTGACTGACTGACTGAATGAGAGTATTTGCTGAGATAATGAAATATAAAATAAAGAATGGTGAATAAGTGGTTAATGAATAAGCAAATGAGTGCATAAATGAATGATTTAATGAATTAACTTGGACCCCAGGAGACAGTAGAAAAAGAGAAGGAGAAAAGGTAAAAAGACAAGGTGTGAGTAAAATTGATAGCAACCAGATCCCTTGACTTTGTGCATCTGATAACCCCTCACTTTAGAGTATCACCATGGTTTCTGGTGACCATAAAAAATAGCAGAGAATTTGAGGGGCATTCTCAACTCTGGACAACTATAAAAGGAACATTCAAGATGCAGAATGGAAGGCAGTGGGGTAGAAGGGAGCTTGACTACTGCAGAGGTTTGTGATGTCCATTAACCAAGCATCCTTAGAGAAGGTCTCCAAGTGTGTCCAGGGAAGGCAAAATAAAGACTTTCCTGTGGCATTTCTTCCCAGGTTATTGGTAGATTTCCTCTGGGCACTTCCCTATGACATGGCAAGAAAACAATGAGTTTTTTTATAAACAAAATTATGCATCTTCATCTTACTTTATTTTTTTTTGTAGAATTAAAACACCATTTTGTAAATCATCATAATGAACAAAAAAGTGCTAATCCTGAGGCTTACTGCCTGTGCTTCAGTGACACTCTGACCCCAGTTTCCCTGCTACCAATTAATTAAAATCAGTCTTTAGCCCTGAAATACTTTTCTCTGATTTTGTTTTTCCTTGAAGGCTTCCATTTGTAGGTTATCTCCCTCTCTCAGAAAGACTAGCTACTTGCCTAATAATAAGGCACCTACTTTATTTCCAAAGGCAGGGTAGAGGTGTAATATATTTGATCTTTAGTCCTTGGATTGATGTAAATCCAGTGATATGAACATTTCATTTCTGGATATTTGCCCTATAGAATCACCTACATTGAGCTCTCATAAGAATTCTTCTTAATCCTGTAAGAGCTTGGATTTACACGTCAGTTGTGGTAAGATGTTCCAGTGTGCTATTATAGTGTCTTGTACTTGAATGGGAATAGTCGTGTTAGGTATCACTATAGCATAAAGTGTGGAAGCGCTAGAGAACTGTGAGTGCCCAAAGTAATATGTCACTTACAAATACCGACTTGAAAATCTTATACCATAAATACTGACTTGCCTCCCCCACTCTTATCCCTGGGCCATTTTTCCATGTGTTCTTTAAATGTCTTTAAGAGTCACAGAGTATGACATGTGTTAGCACAATGCCAGGGACTGGGGGTGATACAGCATTAGTTTTCAAGGAATTCACAGTCCAAAGGGAGAGATCAGCAAAGACAACAAACACATGAAAAAATTCACTTGCCGAATTTGTCTTTGGTTCTAATGCTGTTCCTTTTTAAGCTGAAAAATACCTCAAAAGTATGTATATGATGCCTGCTGTTATTTTTAACTGTTTTAGAGAGAAAGGTTGATTGAAGTTCAAAAGCTTTTTGAAGTTCTACATGTGCTCAAGAGCACTTTATGGCTGTACATAAAAGCAGGTGCAGTGTGTGGCTGATTGTGTGGTATAATTCTAAGACTTCTTCTTCCTCAAGTGCCCCTGCCAAGATTTCAACATTATTCTTGTACCAAAGGCTTAAACAGCTTGTATTAAAGTACAGATACTTTTAGGAAGGAGCTCCTTTCTCCCAACATTATAAAAATTATAAAATTTTAAACAGATTATTAAATTTTAATAATCTGTTTAACAAAGTAAACAAACTTTGTCTGGTGTTGCTTCTGGTATTATAGATAGTTTTAAAAGATGCCTGAGGTCAGAAATTACAGGGCACAGGGTACAAAATTTGACTTGCTATATAGTTTAAAAAGCTCACCATATGGAATGTATTGAATATAACTTATATGTACAATACAATCTACTGCCCACTGAGGATTCTGAGAAACAAAAGATACAATGTCTGACTATAAGGAAACTATATTCTTTTAGGGGAAGTAACATATCTGTATGTGAAGTACTGACCACATGATAACAAATAATGCCAGGCAAATAAATAAATCTTAATCCAAAGTAGCGAGAAAATATGCTGTAAGATTTGAGACAAGGAGACCGATTTCTTACTGGGCTGATACAGGGGAAACATCACAAGGGAAAAGAGATTTGGCCTGTACTTGGGAGAATATAGGGCAAAGAGCAGAGATAACATTTGAAGGAGAGGATCAATGATCAGAAGAGGAGAGACAGATAGTTGGATGAATTTCTGGAAGAGCGAGTGTGTAGATCACTTTGGCATGAAGGGTCAACAGGGAGGAGGATGGGGAAGGTACATTGGGACTGGTGGTGGGGCATCTCCAGTTCCTTCCTAAAGAGGTCAGACTTCATTCTTAGAGAAAGTGGTGTTTTGTATCATATCAGCTCAGTGGTAGAATGCTGGGTGGATTAGGGAAGAAGAATTTCATAGTCAGGAGGTGAGATGTAAGTCTAATACTAGTGATGGAAATAAAGAAAGTGTCAGTAAAGTAAAAAGAAGCAAGAGATGTTAGAATCTCTTGGAAAGAAAAATCACCTGGACTTGACTCCTGCCTTCTTTTCATAACAGTCACCTTCCTAACGTGAGATATCTGAGGTGGTAGAGCCTTGCCACTACAGTGATTGTCTTTGAATTCAGGGCCAGACATACCCGGTTCAAACCAAATTTTGTGACATCAAGCACAAAACCTCTACAAGCCTCAGTTTATTCATGAATAAGATAGGATGGAGGATAAAACCTTATAGGAATGTTGGAAGGATCAACTGAGAGTAAGATCTTGCTGTAATGATGATTGCCAATAAAACAGGAAGTAACATGTTGCTATAGTTCTTGAGAGAGGCAAAACTTCAAATTAATCTGGAAAGAAGCTATAATATCAGAGATAGGAATTAAGGTATAAGACTCTAAAATTTTTTCTAGTTCACAGAGTTGTGAATTAAAGGTAACCAAATATCTCACCTTCATCCATTTCCCCATCCCAACCACATGGTGACACACTGTGAATACTGTGTACTTCTGGTATTTTAGTGTCTGACCATATGCTCTGAATGTCTTGTTGCCTCCTCTCTTTTATTTCTGAATAGCAAGACAAAACTTTTTTTTTTTTTAAGTCCTATTTATTATGCTTCACTGTAATCTGGCAAATCACATGGTTTAAAAAAAACACAAAACACAACAAAGTCAGGGTCATCTATCTGCAGCTACCTTCTCCCTGGTACTGACTCAGCTTTCATTTGTTCAGTTACCAGTGCTATACGAGGCATTTCAGTGGATACAATGATGGGCAAGGTATAATTGTGGGATCTCCCAGTTTACTCTGAGAGATGATATGTATACACAGAATGAGGTTGCATAGTAGATATGAAATACACAGTTTGGTAGTTTAGTGAGAAAGAGATAATATGTGTAATGTAGGAGCTTGCAAAAGCAAGAAATGGATTCCCAAGACAATGTAGTCTCTGCTTATTCGTTATACTTGGTTAGTGGGAAGAGAAAGAAGGGATATGGCAGAAGTTGATGTCCATGGAGAATACAGCCACCAGCACTTGACTCAGATCCTCTGATTATGTGACTGCTTGCTTTACTAAGGGAGATGGTATAAAACCTTTGGGAGACTGAGCATAACATCTACTATAAAGCTTATCATAACATTCACCAGCTTCTTCAAATGATATTCAAGAGAAATTGCTTTCTAAAATGGGACTGCATCAAACTAAAAAGTTTCTACACAGCAAATAAACTATCATTAAATTGAAAAAATATTCTATCAAATGAAAGACTATTTGTATGTCATAAGCCTGACAATGAGCTGATATCCAAAAATTACAAAGAATTCATAAATTTGACAAAAAGAAAACAAAGAAAATGGGTAGAAGAATGAAATAGACACCTCCAAAGAAGGCATGCAGAGGACCAACAGAGACATAAAAAAATGTTCAGTGTTACTTATTATCAAATAAAGGAAGATACAAATAAAAACCACAATGAGACACCATCCCATACCCATGAGCCTACCTCTTAGGAAAAAACCAGAAACACCGTGTTGCTCATCGTATGGAGAGAAAGGAACCTTTGGTATAGACTAGTCCAGGATCTATGGAAAACAATATGGAGGTTCCACAAAACACTAGAAATAGACCTACCATATGATCCAGCAATTCCACTCCTAGGTACTACCCAAAAAATACAAAGTCACTAATAGGAAGGAAAATATGAATTCTTGTGTTCAGTACAGCACTATTGATAACAGCCACAACCTAAATTATAGGTTGGATACAGCCTAAATACCCAAAGACAGATATGTGGATAAAAAAAGGTGTGGTGTATACACAATGGGGTACTACTCAGACAAAATCTTGTCATTCTTGAAAACATAGATGAAACTCCATGGCGGGGGATGGCCAGGGGGAGGGGAGGGGGATGGAGAGGTATGCTAACTGAAATGAATCAGAAGGAGACATAAAAATACTGGGAAATTTCATTCAATTACAAATTATAAATTAAAAAAAAAAAAAAAGGAGCAGACAAAACTAAAGCCTAGAAATAGGATTGCAGATTGAGGCTGCCAGAGGCATTGTGGTGGGGATTAGGGGAAACAAAGCAGGATTAGGAAGCCCCAGGGTCTATGGTAAAGGATAATGGGTGTTTTAGTCCTTGGGTGTGGTGTTGTAACATTCATCTGAAAAGGTGTGAAACTATTCCCTCAAAACATATACAGTGTTGTAAACCAATGCTGTGTCCAAAAAAAGTTGCAGTAAAAAGAAAATCTTTGTCCATTCTCACCATTCCCCTTCAATATAATACTGGAAGTCCTTGCCAGAACAGTAAGTCAAGAGAAAGTCATACAAGGAGTTCAAATAGGGCATGAAGAAGTTAAACTCTCACTGTTTGCTGATGATATGATAATATAGAGAGAGAATTGTAAAACTCCAGAGAAGAACTACTCAAAATAATCAACCAGTTCAGCAAAGTAGCAGGATACAAAATCAACACACAAAAATCAGCTTTCCTATATAAAAACAATCAATCTGAAGAAGAAATCAAGAAAAACATCCCTTTTAAAATTGAAACCAAAAAACTCAAATAGTTGGGAATAAACCTAACAAAAGATATGAAGAACCTATACAAAGAAAATTATAAAACACTATTAATAAAAATAGAAGAAGACACAAAAAATGGAAAAATACCCCCTGCTCATGGATTGGAAGAATTAACATTGTTAAAATGGCCATCCTACCAAAAGCAATTTACAGATTCAGTGCTATTTCAAAACAAAATCAGTGACATGCTTCAAATAAGTAGAACAAACACCGACAGAATTCATATAGAACTACAGAAAACCAAGAATAGCCAGAGCTCTACTGATGAAAACAAAGAAAATGGAGGTACCATACTTCCAAACTTCATTCTATACTACAAAGCCTCAATAATTAAAACAGTGTGGTGCTGGAACAAAAACAGACACACAGACCAATGGAACCGAATATAAAGCCCAGAAATAAACCCACACCTACGTGGACAATTAATCTTTGACAAAGGATCAAAGAATATGCAATGAAACAAGGACAGTTTGTTTAACAAATGGTGCTGGGGAAACTGCAAAAGAATGAAACTAGACCACTACCTCACACCATGCATGAAAGTCAACGCAAAATGGACAAAAGATTTGGGCATAAGACCTGAAACCATAAGATATATAGAAGAAAATATAGATAAAAACCCCAAGACATACATCACAACAACATCTTGAAAGATTCTTTGCTCAAACTAAAGAAAATGAAGGAAATGATAAATACATGGGACTATATCCTTAATAGTTTGTTGCTTCGTGATTTATGTTTCCTCAAAGAGTTAGGTTTATTCTCTCAATTATTATTTCTTTTGCAGTGCCACCATGGTCAATCCACCTAAAGCCATGATTGATGCATCTCAGGAGAGCACGGGGAAGTTGGCTGTGTCTCCAGCCAAGGTAGATTGAACTCAGACTACAAAAATCTCATTTTTGGTGGCAATTCCATTTCTCCTATTTTATTTTATCTAAGAAGTAAAGGATTTGGTGGTTTATATTTGTACCAAATAGGGATACTTGTAATTTTTACTATTTAATGTAGGAAGTAATTCTTATGGTGGAAAAGTTGATTTAAAAAAAAAATGCAAGCCTTTAACTTTGCTGAAGACCCAGATTTCTTGTCTTAGAATAAGGTATCTTCTAAGCTGGGTGGTGCTTCTGCTCAGTATATGGAATAAGGCTTGTTATTTCTTATTTCTACTCCTGTTTTCCTAAATGTTCAAGATGTGCTTGGGTGTAGGAAGTGCCAATTTATGAAATTGTAGCTGGTAACATAGATATCCAGTCTTACATTAATTGAAAAAAATTTTAGTCACTGTACCTTTCTGTTATTAGAATTTATCATGATAGTGACTTTGGAACATTTCAAGATACTTTGACATGTATCTTTTATATCCTTCATAAAAAGATCAATTTTAATTGTGTTTAGAAAAGTTTTGATCTAGCAAAGCAATGGCCTGTGGTGGAAAGAAAACTAAAGAAATCTGCCCTCATGATGGTCTCATGACCTTGATCTGCTCTTTGATGTAACCAGGCCCAAGTTTCTCACCTCTGGAAAGTATGGCACTTCAGTTTTCATACATGGTTGCAATTTAACTTTGTAGGACTGTGGAATTGACTTTATACAGTTTTTTTCTATATGGCATAGTTAGTAATTCTCTGCTAATCAGACTACCAGTTCAACCATTTTTCAAACTTACCAAATAAAGTTCACCAGATAGAACTATAACATATTGGACATAATAAGCAATTGCTAACATTGAATTACTGTTAAAATATTTTAAATGAGTTTAATAAACAATATTTTTCCCCAGCAAAGGAAGAATCCATTTGATAAGTCAGAGTTGCCAGAAGATTACTTAGCGCAACAAATCAAAAATGAACCATCAAAAAATGGAAAGGCTGATTTCTTTCAGACTTCAAAAGAGGGTAAATATTATTTTTATAGACTAGTTATTTTTACCTTTTTACCTATGGGCTAAGGGAAATTCTCAGTGTTCTTTTGACTAAAATATCTTTCAGGGGAAAGTGAAAAGTCCTGCTGGTTTTCTTATTCTATAATAACATCAATATCCTGCCTAAAGGAAGGAAACAGACATTTTAGAAACTAGAAGTTCTGGTTTTGTTGCTGACATTTCTTGTGTGACCATGATACCTTTGGTTCCCTCTCGATGAACTGGAAATTTTTTTTACTAGAGATAGTTATCACTTAACGACTTTTACTAGGGTTCTACCACATGCAGACACAGTTCTCTGCTTAAAATTAAGTTTTCTTAAGAAAAAATTATCATTTGAAAATTTTATGATTCTCTTAATCTCTGGCTGTCCCTTATGGAATTTTACCATTCTTCCATATAATGTAGAAAAAGTCCCAGACGATTCAGTCTCTTCAATGGCAACTCTAAGAAAATTCCACAAGCATGAAAGGTTGCACAAAGAATAGAGGATTTACATTAAACACTGTAGTTGGGAGTTTCAATTATTGTCTTAATATTAGTGTATTTTTCCTTCTCCACTGGATCCACTTTATGTAGCATAAAATATTTTCAGGCAAAAAGATTTTAGAACATGTTGTCTGGGTTTTGTTTTTATTACTTTTGACAAAATCATTTTTTTTTAAATTGAGGTAACAGTGGTTTACAACCCTGTGTCTCATTCAGATGCATAGGGTCCCACATCCTCAATGCAAGTCCCCGTGCCACACCTACCACCAAGGCAAAGTAGACCTGGGCCATGATCACTGTGCTGTTTCCACTCTGTGTTTTCGCCTCCCTCTCTTGTAGCTTCAACTCCACTGTCAGTTTTTTAAGTTAAATTTTGTTTTTGGTATAAATATTTCTTTCTAAAAAGCTGAGCTCCTTTTTGTAGTTTCAAGCTTTGAATCTTAAATATGACTTCTGTGTTTTTCCTTGAATCTTACGTATTTTTCTTTATTTTTTTTAAAAACTTTTTGTATTTATTATAAAATACCGCAAAGCATATGCATAAAAGATAATAATCTTAGGCATAGAGTTCAGTGAAGTTCATGCATGAATTTTAAGGACTTTTTAATTAGGTCTGCACTTACGCTACATATTTCATTGTGTTTAATGTCTTAATACTTTACCAAATGTAGACTAAGTTTATGGTAGTCATTTTAAATTATAGAGTCACTCTTCATTTGTTTTATCACTTAATGTGCTTTAACTTACAGGTGAATTGTCAGAGTCAAAAAGAAAGTCATCTGCAATGAATATTTCAAGCCAAAAGATAGAGAAACCAAAGCAGACTTTCTCAGGCTCTGAGGATGGGTCTCAAATCAAGACTCCAATCCCCAAAGCCAGGAAGATGATCTACAAATCACGTGAGTTAAGGCAAGATGATAACCAGTCTTTTCCTAGACAAAGAACAGACTCCCTGAATGCAAGAGGGGCACCCAGAGGGATCCTGAAGCGCAGCTCCAGTTCCAGCAGCACAGACTCAGAAACAGTTCGTTTGCATCAGAACTTGGAACCCAAAAGCAAAGCCGTGTCACCTCACCTGACCATCCATGAGAGAATTTCTGAGAAGGTGCACTCTTTAAAAGCTGACTCTTCAAACTCATTGGAACCGTTAAAGCATGTGAGATTCTCCACAGTGACGGAAGACTTCCAGCAGAGTCCTGAACAAATCCACAGCCAGGAAGTGGAAGAATTTAATGTTTTAGACTCTGACAAGTTAAAGAATGCAACTGAAGAGGCAGGAAACGTAGATACAGTTTGGAATGACCATAAGCCTTCCCAGTACAGAAAGCCTTTGCCTTTGCATGAGTCAAGTCCAAGTGCACCAAAAGATGAAACACATCAGCCAATGACTCTTACAATTAGTGAGCACCATGCTCCCTCAGAAGTTTTACCTATAAGACCACAGTCCATTGAGAAGTCACCTACTATCAATGAACATAAAGCTAAATCACCAGAATCATTAAGGCTTGAATCAGAAGTGTCCAAAAACCCTGCTGGTAAGAGAATTGTTACTCTGAGGATATAAAACTGACCCAGTGGGCTTGGAATGGCCAGGTCAGCCAGCCCTGAAGAAGCTGTTTTGCTTTCTAGGCTCCCCAGGTAGAGTTCAGGCAGATGCCACTAGGGGATGCTGATCTTTAGGGAGATTTTCCTTAATCACCAATAGCTAAATAGAGCCAGGGTAGCACAGTATCTGGCCTATTATGCTATACTCTAAATAATGTGACTACATCAATTAATTAAACAAAGCATATAAAGTAAATTGTATATACAGAGTAAGAATTAAAGATATTCTAATACCTTTGTGCAGAATAAAAATGCTTCATACCTAATGCAAATTTAGTCAGGCACCATTTAACCAAACTCCAGTTTCTCTTTTAATGTCAGGAAAGCAATGAAACTACCTCTTCAAGCTGCTTTTCCATACCCAGATTCCCATACTCATAGCAAATATTTCCTAATTCCTATTTTAAAAAATATAAACAGTGAGGAAAATCATGCTCTCATCTCCAGTAAGTTCATATCCAATACTGTGACAATTGCTTTATAAGCAGGAATATTTACAATAGCATCCATCAAGTTTCATTCATTTGTTCTACCCTCCCTTATAAGTATCAAGTAAACCCTGAGTCACTTGTTCAGCCCTAAGATTTTGTACTTGTTCAGATCAATCTGCTTCTTAAGAACCGACCACTGTTACCACTTTTCCCCCTGGAAACTTTAAGACATTTGAACAGAATATGATAAAAAATTAGCTGTTGCTTTTCCAAGATATAAAGGAAAAGGTGAAAAAAAATGTTTTGGGCAATGTTTTTCTTTTTTATAATCCACATTAAAAGTGTAGCATGCCTTTTCTATTTTCACCTGTTTTCCCACAGATTATAATTATGTTTTAAATATGTATTTGTATTTTCTGATTTTTAAATCCCAACTGACCATGAAATTTAGGAGGACACTATAATCAGCTATACCTGTTTCAATTGGCAGGTCTCCTATCCTTAGAGTTAATACATGAAGTTGCTTATTCTTTAATGCCATGCATTTCTCCTTATTTAATACAAATACACATGCACACATACATAAAATCATGGAGCATAAAAAGAAAATACGGACTACAAAGTGGTTAACTCTGTACAAATTATAGGGGTTTAACTTTAGTTCTGAATTTCAATATTACATTTTCATACTGGAAAAAATAAAACAAAAGACAAGAATTTCTTAGGGGAAAGGAAATATTGCCAGGCATCAAAAGTTTTAAATAACTATTCTTATTTTATAAGTAATGTACTTTCATTGTAAAACATTTGAACAGAATATATGCACACAAAATAAAGCAAATATCACCTGTGATATCACCCAGCATTAATTATTGCTGGTATTTTAATTGTAGAGTCTTTGGTGTTTATCAGGTTATGAACATAATTTTGAGTTGTTTATACTGCTCATGATCCTTTTTTCACTAACAATAGTTACAAATACTTTTTTCTATAGTTAAGTAGTCTTTTAGTAAATGAGCTAACAGAATTCTTAAAGATTTCTCAAAGGAACAATTATCAACATATATTTAATAGTACAATATGTAATTAAATGAGGAAACCAGTATCCATTGTGTGCTAATTATTATTTAAGCTTTTGTTTTTATATTTGGCCAGAGTAGATGATTAAAATTAAAGACAGAACTTTGTGAACTGACATGTTCTGTAGCACATTTTAAATGTAGCTGACTTCACAAAAATTCAGATTATGTAATTTTCAGGAACATGAATACATCTTAGGTATAAGGAAATGTTAGAAATGCATACACATTTGAGCCTTAAGTAAAGGGGAAAAATTCCCAAGTCTCCTCATCTAAATGTACCATGAACACTGTGGTTACATTTCCGGTAAGACTTTCTGATTTTTTGATAGCTTAGAAAGAGCTTAAATATCCTTCTCTAGCCTCCAACCTTTAACTGACATTGTGGAACAGGTAGAGATCATATTCTCCATCATTCCTACTAATTATTTTTAATTTATCTCAGCTTATTTTATTTGGCTTACAGAAACTACTTCTACTTTACAGACTACAGGAAGGATCTGGGAGATCATAGGGGAGGCATTTGAGGTCATGCCTCTTAAATGCTAGTATACAATCATGGGAATAGTTACTACTAAATAATCCAAGGCCCCATCTTCAGAGATTCAGGTTTAGTACATCAAGAGGAAGGTACCAAAAATGCAACTATCCTCATTGTGACTTTGTAATGTTCTGGAGGAAATAAGTTATTTCAGTCTTCCTTGAATGTTACATATTTTTTAGAATTTGTTTTAAGAAGCTGGTATTTTTTTTATATTTATTTATTTATGCATGCAGAACTGGGGTACAGGCCAGAGGTGCAGGGGCAGTGAAAGGATTCACCAGAGACAGAGTGGGGAGCAGAACAGGCAGATCGATGAAGTACACTGCTGAGGGAAGCAGTGGACAAGACAGGAGAGGTCTGTTGCACCACGTGGATCACCTCCAGGACCAGAGATCAAACTCACATGACACCTCTGCAGCTGGCTTACAGTGGTGTGTCCTAACTAGCTGCGCCACCAGGGAGGGCCCGAATGTTGTTTTTTAACTTCTAGAATTACCTCAGTCCATGTTCTTCAAATTTGAGTGAAAAACCACCTCTATGGTTTATGAATGTGCCAGTGGATGGCTGGAGTTAGGAAATCAACATGATACATACAGAAGTTTGAGAGTAAGAGAGAGATACTGTTTAAAATACAACGTGGAGCAGAATACAAAATTCACATGAATTTTAAAATAAATCAGAGATTTCAAAATAATTTCTCAATTCATCGTACATCCCAGGGATCTACATTTACCTTCCTTTACTGTCATTTGTTCACCTTTACTTGAATATTTTAATTAGGATGGCTGACTTTATAACCCTTAATTATGGTGATAGAAACAGCTAGTGGCATGGTAAGTGCAAATACAATTGCCTATTAAAAATATAATCTAATTGAATAAAAATTTTTATGCATTCTTTTTCTTATTTTGAAAAGCATTTCTGTATTGCAGATGAACTGTCTCGTGTTGACCCTGAGTCATCTCAGGTGCCAGGTGGCAGTTCTAGAGACCATCAGCAAGGTAAGCCCCATCTTCTCACCACCCTCAAAGCTAAGACATCCTCATGCTTTGGTCCAAATGCCACTGAGGAAAGGAAGACAACTGATGATTCCATATCTAAAGTCCTAGACTGGTTTAATCGAAGTTCTCATTCAGATGACAATGTGTTATCTCTCCACCAACCTGAAGGAATAGACCCCAAAGAAAAAGACTCAAAATCACAGATTGCTATTGCCATGGTGAAAGATGATACCAGTCTAAAAGAAAACAACTCAAAGGTGCTATCATCCACCACAGTTGAATTGGCATCTTTGGGATCTGATTCAACATTTCAGGTAGGAGGAAAAGTGCTACCTTCTGGAAACTGCCAAGATAATAATGTGAATAATAAAACCAAATCTATTAATTTTTCACAAGACAAGGAAGACCCAGAAATATCGCAGCCATTTGAAATCTACAATCCAAATGAAAGGAATAAAAATACGGACTCTAATCAAGGTTCCAAACATATAGTAAAAGGAAATAGAGTATTTTCCCCAACCAGTAACCATTTGTATAGAGCTCTCAAAAGATGTGATACAGAAAACCAAGTTCCAAGCAAAACTAATGATTTTGGTAGCTTGGATGAAGAAGAGCCCCAGCTTCATGCGTATGAAAAATGTAAAGAAGACTCAGAAGTGAATTTTGAGTCTTCAGTTCTCAAAGAACCAAGTTTGAAAGACAACTTGAAGATAGAGAGAAAGTACAAAGGAGATACTTACATCCTGAATACTTCCTTAGAGCAGGAGAATAATGAATCACCATCTGGGGCTGCCAACAACAGATCTCCTTGGAAGAAATCTGAGGTCCCACTACAGCAAGAAGCTGGTGAGGTTCCCAAGAGCCAAGTGCAAAGAGAGGAATACAGAAGAGTAAGTGACAGAATATCCTTTTGGGAAGGTGGGAAAGCTGCTGCCAAGGTAACTCATAAGGATCTTATAACTTCACGTGGACAGGAACAACTTTCTAAAGGATATCAACCTGTGAATTCACAGTGTGTGTCCATGGAGCATTTGTCTACGGGCCAGAGCGAAAGTGATCGAGGCACCCCCGAACTAATGGTCCTAGATGACAATGGTCCAGCAGCCCATCTCTCTGATCTTTATCCATCAAATAAACTTAAGGACACCAGGCCTCATATAGTAGGTCCATACAAAAATTTCCCCTCACCTAGCCAACCAGTTAAAGGGCCTCTGTTTCAGAATAAGATAAATGAGTCTATACAAATATTGTCAGTGGCAGACAATTTGCATTCTGAAATGGAAATTACTTTACCAGAAATCCAACATCCTTCAAATACTGGGAGTGAAAAACATATAACATTGGAGAAAGACAGATCTCTAATTGGTGAATCAAATCCCACCTTGAAAATTATGTCCCTGAAGGAAAGAATGGATGAGTGCTATCCAGACCAAGTCTATAATCATTCTCAGTTTGAGAATTTGAGGAAATTTTGGGATTTAGGAGCCAATATGAACAATCCAGAAAATGTTGAAAAGAATACCACAATAAATAAAAAAAAATCCAGGCCTTTTAATAGCCAGCAGCACAAAGAATTCAGTGACATTAAATCCTCAGGAAAAGATACCCATGAAATAGATACATGTCTAAGCCAAAAAAATGTTCTGGCAAAAGAGGAAATAGAGAAATTAAATCCAAAGTGCATACCCCATGTGTTACCAGGTGAAACCACATTTCCATTGAGAACATCCAGAAAGTCCACTCATCAGTTGCCAGGAAATGAGTCATCAAAGGAAAATGTGGAAAAGAATACCAAATGGTTGACTACATCAGGGTTCAAGGAAGAAAATGCCTATTTAGATAGAGAGATTCAAGAATCCATAGTGAAAACAAGTGTTTTATCTAAAGACTATGAAGACACTTTTAATGACAGCTTACAGAAGCTGCTTTCAGAAGTTTCATCATCAGCAATCCAGCTTTCTGGTGGAAAAGTTCATGGAAAACAAGTGCTTGAACCTGGTGTTTCTGGATATAGGACAAGGCTGCAAAACACAGATTTTTCTGATCCTGCAGAAGTTGCTAGAGGACCTAAGGAGATCATTGATGAGCATGTAGACAAAACAGTATCTCCGCCAAAGGTCAGGTCAAACACATTGACTGTTAGTCTAGACAAACTTCTGAGGGAAGCAACTGGAACATCACCCTCTCCCTTGCAAATAAAGTTGGAACCCATGACCTCTAGGGCCAACTCTGAGCTTGAAGAGAGTAGTACTTTTGAAAAACAGATAGAAGGAAGTCATGGCACAGCAGCCTGTCAAAGAGAGAACTTTCCCCAAGGCATGGCTTCCAACCAGTATGCTCAGCTTGCTCCCCAGGATAAATCACTATATCCTCAAAGAGAAGTTTCAGAGACTGTAGAAAAGGTCATTTTTCTATCCAAACCTCCGTTGAAGGATGTAAATGCTATATTACAAAAGCTGCATAGAGAAGCTTGGTTGACTGGAAGAGAAAAAGAAGAATTAAATGAAGTAGTACAGGCAACAAGTAGCCCCCAAAATTATTTGGGAGATACTGCATCACAGACTACCCAAATGTCTCCATCAGTCCAAACCCTTAGTTTGTCTTGTTCCACTGTTACTCAGTATAGCAGAGACTTGCCGCAGGAAGTGGCAGAAATTGTGAGAGCAACAGTTATTCAACCTAAATCAGAGTTCCTTGAATTCAGTGCTGGCTTAGAAAGACTACTAAAAGAAACAATTGAAACACCCTCCTCAAAATATGAAAGTTATAGAGGATCCCTTTCTCCATCAGAGTTAAAAGGTAATATTGAGGTGACCAGGCAAGCTGCTTCTGAATTCTGTACTAAGGAAATAAAAGAAACTATAGAAAAGTCCAAGGCTCCGTCAATAACTGAATGTGCCTTTGAAATTGGTTTTGAGAAACTCCTTAAAGAGGCCTCTCAAGTTTCTTCTTATCATCTCCAGGTTCCAGTGAAGGAAGAAACTTTTAAGAAGGAGCCTTCACAGTCAGAGCAGGACAGGTTCTTGGGCACAGTGCCCCATCTTTCCTGGAAAACCTCAGAGGCCTCTGCTGTGAAACTTGAGAGTAGTGTTTTCAAATCTCAAACCAACCAACAAGATAAAAAGTTGGGAGGAGACAAAACTAGTTTATTAGTGGATCCCTGTGGTTCTGAAAGTAGAATTGAGATCTCTGGGACCCCAGAATCTCAGATAGACTATGAAATAAGGACCATAGAAACTATAAAGCCCCTAGAAGAAAGAGATAGTGAACGTGAGGTTGCAGGGTTTCAAGAAAGGGAGACTGGCTTTGAAGAGGGTCCTGAAGCAATGAGTGTGTCTAGATGTAACCAACCCATTCCTCTTCTGGTGAACAAAGAAAACCCTACAAAACCACTGACATCACTGTATAAGAGACAAGAAAAAGAAGAAGATAGAAGTTTCTCTGACTCTGAATTTTCAGATGGGAACATCAGTTCGAAGGCAGAAAGTTGGAGAAATACCTCCAGTGAGCATATCTTTTTCTAAAGGTTTATTAATTTATACATACAGAACTGGGGTGCAGGCCAGAGGTACAGGGGCAGTGAGAGGATTCACTAAAGATAGAGTGGGGAGCAGAACAGGCAGATTAACAAAGTACACTGCTGAAGGAAGCAGCAGGTGAGACAAGAGAGGTCTGATGTGCAGTGTGAATCACCTCTGGGGGCAGGGATAGAACTTGTGCTGCAGTGGCTGAGGCCAGCTTCATAATGCTGTACTTTAACCCGTTGCGCCACCAGGGAGGGCCCCCGTGAGCATATTTTTAACTCACTAATAAGTTATGGAATACTTATGACAAGGATATATTTTTAATTGGTATTTTTTTGACACTCCCAAATGGTGCTAAATTCTTTTTATCACTTCACTACCTAGACTTTCTTTAAAAAAAAATCTACATTTCCTTTATATTCTTTAACCAAATGAGTTATAGATGGCTTTACCCACAAGACAGTATTTTAGAATCTCACCTTATTCTCATTAACTACCAATACAATTTTTACATTTCAAAAATATTTAAAATTTTTTAATTCAAAAAATACCTTTAAAATACTCAAGATAATTTTCCTCCTGGAAATAATTAGAATTGCTTTCTTAATTGACATTCCACACAGAAAGTCTCTAGTAAGATTTATGATAAAGCACTACAAAAGGACACCAATTTCCCTCTTAGGGAAAATATTTATCACATTAGTGACTAACTATCAAGAACAAAATACAAGACTGGAACTTTCTTTTCCTCAGATACCTTTTGCTGTGACATCTTTGTTGCCACTCTCCCCCTCTTGCTCTCAATTATATGCAGAATCTTCCCCTTCTAGAGTATGACTTTGGTCAGATGACTTCACCTGATTCTACCCCTGGGCATTACCTGGCCTGTTGCATTTCTTTGGTTCCAGCTTTGGCTACATGGATGAAGATCTTAAATGATTCCCACACTTTTCTTAGTGGGTGTGGGGGGACTGGTTTCAGTCAAGCTATGATATAGAGGGCTTGTCTGAATTGGCTATTCTGATTAATAGCTGGGTGTGTTTGCAGAGAAACCAGAGGTAAATTAGGAATGAAAAATTACCTGATTAAGTGAGGAAATGATTGATAAAAGATGTTCTATGGTTAGGACATCTTAACCAAACTTGCACAGCAGCTAGTTTTGATTATTTTTTTAATATTTTAATCGAATTTGTTATTCTAATTCCCTTCAATCTTAGTAAGGATAAATAAGCTTTACTGAGTGATTGCCTTCTAGGGTTTAGGTTCTTTTGCACATAACTCTTCTTGAAAGCTTACTAAAGGCTCTATCTTTTTTTTTTTTTTTTTTTTTAACATGCCAAAGGTTTGTCTTTAATTTGAAAAGAGTACAGCAGAGATAAAAGTGGTAACATCTCCTTGGTGACTCGGGGGTTAAAGACCATTCTAGGAAGCTATCACCAGCCACTGCAGCTCAAGTTTGAGTTCTGTCCCCATCACCAGGCTGCCAGGAGCTGACTCAGACATGGCTCAGTAGACCTCTCCTGACCCACCAGCTGCTCCCCTCAGCAATGTATTTCAGTACATCTGCTCCCCACTCTGGTGAATCTAAAGGCTCTATCTTTAATCCTATTTAATCAGAATGAAGTCATTTTAACAAATGTTGCTAGTAAGAAAAGGAAAGTGAAAAAGTAGAGTTTTAATTTAAACATATATAAAGTAGAAGACTATATTAAATTTGTTAAGATAGACTTTTACTAAGTCACACCATGAGTCATGGGGATAAAATCTTACTAACTTAGAAGTTACCAGAAGAGGAGAGGGGCTCTCGTATTATCTTTAGATACTGTTATCTAACCTATATGGCCATGTTTATAGCCAACATTTGGATTGAATAACAAAATAGCATTCAAAAAAGGCAAGAAGTATTACATAAGCACCCAGGCAGAACCTAAAGAAGATATTTCAAAATTATGAGCCAAGTAAAAGGTGTAAAATTAGATACAATTTTATATACTCTGACATAAATTTTTATTTTAAAGCGAACTGTGGACTGGGTAGGTAAGCAGAATCTGACTACAAGAGCAATATTTTGGGAGAACAACTTAAAATGCTTGCCTTGTGCTTGAGTTCTTAATCATCTCAACCAATCAATGTATTTCTTTAAAGGGGGAGAGAGGGACAGATCCCATGGTCACATACTTGTAGAAATTATGGGAGATTATGCATATTATTATCAAATTAATGTTTTTAATAAAGTCTCAGTAAGATACCTTTTAACACAGAGCATCCCAAATCTGATTCATTTAGAATCATTTGCCTTGAAATATCTATTAACATTGGGTAGAAAAGGGATGCATTTCAGGAAATTATTGTCTGGAGAAGTGGTTTCCAAATCCGTTGACTCATTAATGGAATCGTTCATTGATTTAGCAAACGTTACTGAAGTGCCCACTGCCAGATGCTATTCTAGGCACTGAGAATACAGTGGTGATGAATATCAGCATTCAGGCCAGTGCTTATCCATAAAGAAGTCATCACTGTCAAAGTGGGAAACTAAGGACTGTCTACAGAGAGTTTCTTTTGTTAAATTTTATGTCCTTCCGGGTGGTTCTTGTTCTGAAGTTATGCTTTTTTTTTTTTTGGTATGCAAATATCTTTCTTTTTATAAAATAAAAACATTAATAGATGATAGAATCCTTGTACTCCATTTAAAATGCCTTAATAAAACAAAAAATTGACTACTTCATGTCACTTTCCAACAATTTGTTGGTAATTTACTGGCACATGAAACCCAGACAGCCTGCATCAATTGATCTGGAGAGCTCACCCATCTGTGCACCAAATTACACACAGATGTTAAACATCTGAATCTCCCTTCCATGGTTTTCAGCTCATGTTTTTAATGTCCCTAAAATCATTTCATGGCAGTCTTCAAAAGCTAAAATGTGAAGTGGGAAGACACAAAGTCTCACAGAGAACAAAGCATGTGCCCAAAATAGAGATATACAAAACTGAGGCTCACATTTCTATCATGTGGTAGTCTTGTTTCTGTATGATTGACGCTTGCACATTTTTTGGACCAGGCAGGTTGTTTTTTTTTTTTTTTTTTAAAGCATGTGCTGTATGGCAAATTTATTTTCTCCTGGGAAATGCTTCACAGTACATAAAACTATAGAGGCTTATAGCACAATACCTCCTTTCAACCTATCACTTCAGTGTCCATTGTCCTATGGGGTTAGATTGTTGTGGATTTTTTTTATTGTATTGTGCAGTGTTCATCAATTTTGTCTTGCAACAGGTTCAGAAGAAGAACCCAGTCCTGTTTTGAAAACTTTGGAAAGGAGTGCTGCTAGGAAAATGCCTTGCAAAAGTTTAGAAGACTTACCATCAGATTCCTCAAGTGAGAATCAAATTTGCTCCATCCATGTATGCTCTCATCTAAGCTTAGGCACGCTTATGTGCTCTTCTGTGGCCTCACTGCATGCTGTTGTGCACTGAAACCCCTCAAGGGGGAGGTTAACAGATGAGAATAATCTTTCCCACGTGAGCTGAAGAGACTCATTAAAGTTGCTGGAGCTTTGTTTTTTAAAATAGCATATGAGGTTACAAGGATTAGGTTTTCTTAAAGTCAAGAATCCCAGTTTGAGTACTTATTCAAGTTTTCAAAGATTGTGGTAGCTAATAGTAGTAGTGGTCGTAATTGACATTTTTAGAGCACTATGTGCCAAGATGTGGTTTAGTGTTACAACTGAATTATCTCATTTAACTGCATTAGTAAACTCAAGAGGAACAAATTGCCGCCCCCCAACCCCCATTTACAGATGAGGAAAATGAAGCTCAGAGAGATTCACAGAACAGGGTTAGCACTCAAAGTCAGAAGGCTATTTTAATGAGTGACCATATTAATTATTACAGTGTTGGATGTCTGAAGAATTTCGCACACAGTATGGAAATGAATTAGTCACTGGTTTCAAGGACCTTCTTTTCTTATGTATACCTTCTTTTGTTTTCACTCTAAGCCTGAAGACTATCTGCCATGCAACACTTTAGGTACCCTATTCTCCACTCGCTGTTGCTTTAATTGGTGAAGGATTTCTTGAGTATTAATAGCGAGCGCAATGTTATAGAGGACTTGTGAGCCAGAAAAACGACTTTAGAATTCATTATTTCTAGGGCTTTGTTCTTACTGATTTTAAGCTAAAATATACCCATGGGATTAGAGATGATCATGAGAAAATATATTGAGTGCAAGTTAATCACTGCCAAACTCGCATAATTTAATACTGACCATTCACATAATTAGAATATTTTGTATGCATCTGTAGTTGTAACTAAAAATGTCAGAATTCAAAATAGAAAAGAAAAAGCCACGCCACTAAATATGAAAACAGTATTCTCAATTTGGAGTGCAAATTGACCCTTCCAAAGATTTTGGAATCTCTGAATTGAAAGGGACTTTGAAGGTCATTCGTTCCAAATTCCCCCTATACAGGAATTCTCACTAAAGCCTCCTTAACAGGTGGCCAACCCCCACATTAGCCTGAATGCTTCCGGAGAGGGCATGTTTATTCTTTGTTCAGACCCAATTGTTCTTCCTGATATTGGTGAGGGGAAAAACAAACAAACAAACAAAAACACTCAGTAACAATTGGCCTATTTGGCAAACCTCTTGCCTTCTCCAAACGGGGCTATTTCCATGGTGCAGTTTCAAGTACTAAGGAATGTGTAGGGTTAAAAAAAAAAATCACCATCAGCTGACGGGTATTGCTGCATACTCCCTTCCAAATACCAATACCCACTCTCACACTAGCTTGCCAAGATTCCACTTAGCAGCTGGTCCCCAGTCACAGCTCTTCAGTTGACTTCCCAAGCAAGACTCCCAGAGGCATACACAAATGATGATGCATGTACAGAAATATTTGTTAATGACCATGGGTTTGGGACGGTGTTAGTCATGGCTAGGATCTTAACGCTTTCCATAAGAACAGGGAGGCTGTTTGAGCCCTGTGCTGTCTCCTGCTGCCAGCCGATTGCTTGCTCTGAGCTAACCCTCTAACTCTTGGGAGTCTGTGAAGCAGTGTGCTGATGTAAGCTGCATCGAGGCTGAAATGGGAGCTCCCGCTATGGCACTGGCTCAAATAGCTAAAGAAAACGTATTTTGGGGGAAGACATCTTGGTTGCACCCCTCACCGCATCTTAACTAATTGCTTCCAACTCCTGGGGCTTCCAGAGCAATCTCATTGTTCTTTCTCACCAAAGGTCATCAGTGTTAACCATTTGTTAATTTCTCCTGAACAGATCAAGCAAAAGTAAATAATCTGCCAGAAGAATTAGTGCATAGTGCTGAAGATGGTAAATATCTTTATGTATTTGCATGTCTGTCTGTATTAGGCTCTGGGGTGGTTTGGGCAGTCTCCGGAACTGGGACGCAGCTGTTGGATAAATAAAAGAATGTCATTTGCCATTGTGCAGTGAATGCTGCCTAAGTTCTGACTTAGTGCATTTAATACTGTTTGTATTCTTAAGACTCCTATGGGTGATAAAATTGTGAGGATCTTATTAAAGACCTTTGGGAAGTGGGGGTTTCTATAAATAGCAAATTGTATTTTGGGGTATCAGCTGTTTTTGCTGCTTTGACTTGCAGAAGTTCTTGTGAAGGCAGGAAAAGTGGAGTGGGTTTCTGGGTTAAGTTATTTCTCTATTTGATTCTCAGTCTCAGCAATTAGATCTGTCTGGGCACAACTGGTTAAGGAAAGGGTCTCAAAATAGGAGGGGGATTCCTACTTCTGTTCATATAGATAACTAACGATAGATTGAAGATACAGTTTGTTCTGATAATAAGGACCCAGAAGATCTTCAAGCTTGTGAGTGAATCAGGTATTAGTTCAACTATAAAATGCATAGGGTAAATAATGTGTTTCTGGGGTAGAGATGAAAATGAGTCTGATATTTTATAGTTCAGCATTTATTCAAATGTGTAATTTATATTTAAATGCTAGCTTTTTTTTTTACTAAGTTATCTTCACCATGATAATAAAAATGTGTGTTCAAGTAAAATTCAGCAACACAGTTCCTCAAAGGTAATTGCTTACTTGAATGTAATAATTTTGTTTTTCTTATTGTATGTTTAAAACCTCCTGGAAGTAGATGGAGCCGTGATTTTTATCTTTACAGATAAGAAAAGCTTCAAGAAATTAAATGTCTTGTATCTGATCCTGTCGCTGGGCAGTCAGACGGAGGGTGGGGAATAGAATCTTAGCTTTATTACTTCTGGTTCAGTGCTCCTTCTGTGTTTCACGCTGTGGGGTAGTAATTAGAGAAGAGATACAGGACATCTCCCATGCTTGATCTTGGATATTCATTTGAACAGGAGACCTTAAAGAGGCTAGTGACAAGTCACGATAAGTGGATGAAAGCAAGCTGAAAACTTAATCAGACTATTCACATGCTCAATGTGAAGCTAACATACCAACTGTACTTTTCATGTCTTTTTAAGCCTCTGTTAAAATGGTTATTTATTCTCAATGTTGCTCTTCTGAGTAGATAAAAAAGCAGATCAGGAAGCAGATACAAATGAATGCATTCCAGGAAGTGAGTAGCAGGATCTTTCTTATAAATGACTAAATGTTGCCACTCTACATGGTATTGAATATAATGAAATAACTAACCCCTTAATAACAGCATTTATTATTGGTACTAAATGCCTGCAATTTACAAAACTATTTCATTCTGACAAGGGTTTTATTAAAAATATTTTACTATTGTCTGTGTTAAAAGATTTTATTTTCCACTAGCAAGAGTTATGTATTTTTAAATGGTGTCATGGTTCCACTAGCAAGAGTTATATAGTTTCAAAAAGTATGTATGTATATACATATATGTTACATTTAAATGTTATGATGAGAAGTATTACTTTTATGTCAGTCTGTCAGCTTTTTGTACCTAAAATCTCGTTGGTAATTTCTAATATAACTTGATTTTAATGATACATTATGGTGTTGAGTGTTGTGTTTCTTATGGCCTCTACAGAAGATATTAAGTAATTTATAATGTATTAAGACTTAAGAAAAACTGTACTTTGAGAGCTATTATGTGATAAGGTTTTATGTGACTATATATCTATGGAAACATATGATGTCCAAGATATAAGCTTTGAGTTCATAGCTGAACTTGAACCGTATACATTCAATATAGAAAGCAATTGAACATCTGAATTTTAAGAATTAATGGTGTATTTCTGGTGACTAATGTCTATCAACTAATTAAATCCACCAAATAAAAATGACAATCATTCACTCTTTTCAACCTTAAGATTGCTGTTCTTAGCTGTCACAGCTGTCTTGAGGACAGATATACCTATAAAAGAGGTGTCTGTGGGCCCAGCAAAGCATATATCTTCTTAGCGTTCCAGTTTCATAACCCTAGGCACTTGAGGAGAGGGGGAAAGAGATAATGATGCACATGCCAGCCCTCAAGAATCAATAGGATTTTTTGTAACAATTTCCCCAATAGTCTTTGGATGTGTTAATAAGAGTTAATGAAAAAAGGAGTTAAATGGAAAACCCTAGATCGAGAAAGTGCAGATGCTAGGAGGCAGTGATAGCTAGTCAGAAATCTGAAACTTGGCTTCAGAGGCCCTCCTGCCTCAAGATGATGCTGAACTTTGGCACCTGACTGACAAATTCTTAAGAACTACCCAGGGAAGAAAACAATACAGGCTCTTGCCTTTGTGGATGTCCTCTGTCTGACTGCTGAGGAAGAATCAAGACTTCTGTCCTTCGAGGGTGCTGGGTAAAGAGGCTCTTCTAGTCATGTTTGAACTGGCAGACACTTAAGTTGTGGCTACTTATTTTATCTTCCTATGTCTTATTCAACATTTAGCCTGAGGAGTGAAAACAAAAGATTAGGCCATATATGCCTACATATCAGTGTCTTCGTTTGTCACCTCTTATTTATTGGTCATGGTCATTAGGCTAATCATTAATTATTAATTTCTCTCTTTTTATCATATTTTCCAAATTGACTCATAATGCCTAAACTAGGATGATTCTTTTTCTTAAAGCCATTAAGTCCACAGTTAACTATGGTGGAGTAGTTCATATATACTTTGAAAATAAAATGGAGCAAAGTAAACTTTTTACATACTCATTGGGCTAACTGTGTCCTCAAGGGACTCATTCTTACTTTCCTGCCGATATAAGTCACCTGAATACACAAACATGAATATTATTGTTTAATAGGATGTGATAAAAGCAGGCATGTTGTAAGAAGTCATGATCGTGTATTGATACATTTGTGAGTCTAGGGCTAGATAAGAACAACTATATGAATAAGCAAATATTAACATGTAGTTCCGTTTTAGTTTCCTTCATTAGAGTTTTGAAAAGGTGAATTTAACTAATGCTTAGGACTGAATTTGAGCCTTTTGAGTTATATTTAGAATTTAATGTTTTGTATATTTTCTTAGTATGTCTTTAAATAATAAAGTTGTCAGTATAGCCATAATACATTAAAAAATACATACTGTATCAGATATTTCTTTGTTAACAATTACATAGGACCTACTATGTACTAAGTGCCTTAAAAAACTGTTTATTCATTCAAGATAAAAGTTCTGATTCAACATAAAGAAACACTATACTCTTTTTTTTTTACAAAAATTTATTTTTACATCATTTTGTACATTTTCACTATACTCTTTTAACCAGAGTTACACAGAATAGAATAAAATTCATCTCATTCTGCTTAACACACATATAACTTAACTGGTATCAGAAAGAATATACATACTACATTTTCATACTAAATGCAAAGATGCCTAAATTGAATCATTTAAACTTAGTGTGGTGACATCACTATTGAAAATTTTCTTTATTTGACAAATATCTAAATAATTTCTATTTTCAAAAAAGAAAAAGATTTGAAATTGCTGTCTTTTGATAAGTTTGAGTAAGTATTGCAATCAGAGAAGTAATCCCCGCTCTAAGCAAACTTTCTCTTTAGACTCAAGAGACAGGACATTGTTATTATGAGTTGTAAAGATCCTTGCTGTCCAATGAAATAGTTTTTCAAACTGCAGCATGTTAAAAATATATTTCAAGGAGATGAACCAAAAAGTAACAGAATTTGTAGTTTCACCATGATGTGAAAAATAGTTTAAAGTGGTTCACATTGGCTATATGCTTTAATACAAATCTAGCTCCAATTCAATAAAAATGAATAGCTTTAAAGTATTATTTTTCTATTTGATTCAACTCCTTATTAGTTCACTTTAATATATAAAAACTGCATGTTTTTTACCTATGATCCTCTGCATGTGACTTACTGTGTTTTTAACTTTCTTATAACACATCTTTTCAAAGATGAAACAAAAGTGCTTTCAACTTATGCCTAATGTTGTTTGACAATTGTAAGAGTAATTTTGAATGGAAATGCTGCTGTTTAGTTTCCACAGTGCCTTCACAACCTGATAATCAGTTTTCCCACCCTGACAAACTCAAAAGGATGAGCAAGTCTGTTCCAGCATTTCTCCAAGATGAGGCAAGTTTGTCTTTTTTACCTTCAGAAAAAGGAAACCAATATAAACTGGGTTTTCTATGCCAAGGTTGGTGTGTGCCAAGACTATGGCAGAGACCAAAGTGTCCTTCCTCCTCTGCTTTCTGGACACATTTCTGTCCATTCTTAGACCTTAGGTAAACTGACCCTTACCTGTCAGATGAGTAGAAGTAGTGTTGTTGACTCTGGAACAAGGCAAGACAGTTCTCATGGACTCAAGCAGTAGCTCCTTTTGGTCAGTGAAGTCAAATTGCATAAGTTTGGGAATGTGGCTTTTGTTTCAAATTGGTTACAAAATAAGAAATATGGGCAGAAATACATTGGCATGAACTATTACATGTAGTTTAGAGTGGAGTTGACTTGTGAAAGCTTAATTTAGGTGGCAAATCTAGCTTGAAAACACTTGTTAAAATAATGAAGTAGCAATGACATAATTCAGAAGGATCAGCTTGGTGTAGGTGCTTCTCATACATTATCTCATTTAATCCTTCAAGAACCCAAGGAGTGGGCACCATCATTATCCCCTGATATTACAGATTAGGAAACTGAGATTAAGAAAGGTGGTGTAAGCTCACTCAGCTTGAAAGGGGTTGAGCTGGCACTGAAGCCCAGATCTCATCCCCATGCTGTTAACTACTAACCTACTTTACCCTGAATATCTAATATCTACCAGCCATTTAATATTGATTCTAATACTCATTGTCACCAGTTAAACATAGTAGGCAGTATGTTCTCCATTTTGTAAAAGAAAAAAATGCCTCAAAGAGGTTAATTAACTTATCCCAAATCCAACAGTTGCTAAAAAAGTAGATCTAAGACATGAACTCTGATTTTTTTTTTATTGAATTTAGATCCCATGTTTTTTGTGGCCAGGCTGTTAGGAAAACACCTGAGCATTACAGTCAGGCAAGCACAGTCCTGGCAATGCCACTAGTTTATTGTATGATTATGAACAACTCCTTCACTTCCCTAAATTTGGCTTCCTATTAACTACCACATAAATAGGTGAGTAAGGAGGCTGAGATAATGCAAAGAATATATGTAACACTGTGCCTGAGGCACCCAGTATATGTAATATTGCTATTTGTGGTTTTAGTCTGATTTTTTATTTTAAAATAAAAGACTTCATCCTCAAGCATCCTCTTAGTAGATGGAATGTTTAAAAAGCTCTGTATGACACATTATGTCCCTTCTCCCCAGCTTTTTGGCCAGCCTTCTGTTCATTCTTAGACCTTAGATGAACTTTATCTGGACTTCTTAGTCCCTGGATTCGCTTAAGAATCCATACTATAGGTTTCATTGGGATGAGTCTCTCTCTCTCTTTTTTTTTTTTTTGTAACTAACTCATGGCTGAAAGGGAACAGTTCATATAGTTCATATGCATAGAGTTCATATGTATTTAGAGCATTATAAATTGCTTTGGTTTTGGTTGGTTATATGAATAAACCACATAATATTTGACAAGCAAATAATAACAGTTCTTGTTTTTTATTTTTCTTCACTGTTCAGTTTTAACACTCTCATTGCTCCACATACAAAAGAATCCAATTCCTTTGCATTTGTACATCAGAGATACCAAATAAGCTGTATCACTTTACCTTTCAAATTAAATGGGGATGAACTGAGTATTAAAGAAGTAGAGATGTAGTCAAGCCCTGGTCCTTTGTCCACTGTCCCCCGAGCCTTAGCGTCATCACATTTGTTGAGTGCCAGCAATGTGAAAATCGTTCCAGGTCAACAAGACAAAGTTCTATCCTCCAGTAATTCACCAATGGTCTCATAAACCAGGCAGATTGTTATATGTGCTACAACAGAGAGAAGTGTATTAGGTAAGGACTGCGGGAAAGTGTAACAATAGAAACGTTAAAAAAGGATGCATTTTTTCTACTGAGTGGGAAAATTCTTATTTATAAATTCTAAGTTATAAATTTTGTTTTTCTCTGATTCCTTTCTTAATCTGCATTAGAATTAGCATCCATTATATTGATACATAATTGCATGGGCCTGGAATAAGTTGGCATGAACTAACTACTCCTCTATAAATGTGTTTCCCTAACTCCAAGAGTCACTGAACTGCATCATAAACTCTAAGCCCAAAAGGAATCATGAAAATTTTAAGTTACCATCTAATAAGCTTTGACCTAAATATAATGAGATTTATTGTTGCCACTTTTCTTTCTTGATCTAGATAAATGTTTCCTAGAATATATTTAAATAACTATCTTACTTTTTTTATTTTTCAAAAACATGTTAAAATAGGTAGAATATATAGTTTAATGTACTTCCTCGCAGCAACAAAGATAAGCACATTAACACTACAGAAATACATACAAGGTGGTTTAAATTCATATGTGTATTCATGCACATATGCACACATACATATATGTAAGCTTTGAGCTGAAACAAATCAGATTAGCATTTTTTGTCCTAATTTAATAGTGTATCAACTGGAAGATTGGATTTTTTTTTTTTTTAGGGAACTTAAAGGCTTTTTAATAATGAGAGGAATGAAGCATGACATTTTTGACAGTCAATCTTAACCTTTTTATTTTCTGGCTAAAGTTAGTTTTTCTAATAGCGATAAAATTCTCCAAACAATATAAATATATAATGTTAAGTTCACAGTTATGCAGTCTTCTATAGCATCTTGGGTCCACCTTGTAAATATAGAAACATGTAGGTGGCTAAAGTCTGCCCTCATTCTTAGGTGAGGTCTAAGGCAGACCACCCACCACATCCCGAGTCCCACTCTCTGGCGATTAGCACTAGTGTGTCTTCTGACCTGGGAAATGTCATAGATCCATAGGAGACCAAGTTATGCTCTTTGCCTGAATAGAGATTCTGATCTTGACTGCATTTAAATTTTGTGTATATGATGTCTTGTAGAGTGATGGCAGAGAAACAGATACAGCATCAGAAAGCAGTTACCAGCTCAGCAGACACAAGAAGAGCCCCAGCTCTTTAACCAATCTTAGCAGCTCCTCTGGCATGACATCATTGTCTTCTGTATGTAAACAAAAGCTCTGTGTTAATCTCTCTGCTTCTGTGAACCTTACCTTGCTATGCTCCCTCTACTATAAAGGGCCTCCTATTGTATTTCTCAGATTCCCAGGACACCAGCTTTTTTCTCTAACCCACAATTAGCTCTGGCTAGCTTAATCTTCCTGTCTCCTTTCTATTAAGCATGATGGGTTCATTTATATTATATTTGTAAGTAAATACTTTAAAAATACAACTAAATTATCAGTAAGACATTTTTTTCTGTGCGATAGATTGGGAAAGTTATAAAGTCTGCTTATATCACATAAGCTTTTGTATACTATTTGCAGATAAAGAATTATAACTCTCTTTTAGCTAGACTGGTGAATAAAAGTAGTTATTCATATTTTAAAAATGGAACTGATTTTTTACCTTATATTAGTAGAAGAATTCAGAATAAGATATTAAAAGAAAAATTTCCGGAATCTAATTGATCAGATTTGATTTTGAAATTTACTGATTTTGAGCTGATTACTTGTACACACAGTCTGGATATACAAATACATAAGTAAATATATCTGTATTTCTCAAACCTTTTATTGAAGCCTATTTTAATGGAATTTCTGCTAAAAAAAAATCTAATGTTAGGTCTTGAAAAGACTAACCTGCCTTTGTCAATCATCCATTTTCTAGTGTTCCTGACCTCTAAAAGCTGATGACTCAGAGTAAACATTTTTTTTAGATTCACTGTATAACAGTAAAATTCCTTTTTATTTATCCATTGTTTTAAATTGGACTTTTTAAAAATTGTGGTAATGTTGAATATTGGCTAACAACACTGTGTATGGTTTAATGGATTCCCCTCTCTTCACATGGATGTTACATCATCCCCAACACTTAAGCATCCAGTATCCTTCATCAGAGTCCCTTGGCTTCCCTTCCTCTCTTTAATGCCCATCCATACCCTCCCATTCTGGTGGCCTCAATTAGTGCCTTGGAGCAATGTGTCACTGTGATTTGTATGACTGGCTTTTCTCATATACTTTTTCTTTAACATTTTAAATACTAAGCATGCGTTAAAGTGGAACTCTGAATGCCCCTTAGTATAAAGTCACCCTGCTTTGAAATGTATCAGCAGCTAAATGACTTTGCATTCCATTTTTCCTCTATCTCTTATAGAGGTATTTTTAAAAAATGCTAGTCATCACCTATATCATGTCAGGGTATCTGTGTTGGAATGTCTTTATGCCATATTAAAATAACTCTAATATTCAAAATGGAGAAATAATGATAAGTAAGGATAACATCCTTGATTCTCTTTGAGTTCAAGAATGATAGACAAATATTACCTGTTTCCAATGTTTTCAGGTGAGTGGCAGTGTGATGAGCCTTTATAGTGGAGACTTTGGTAATCTGGAAGTGAAAGGAAGTATTCAGTTTGCAATTGACTATGTGGACTCACTGAAGGAATTGCATGTTTTTGTGGCCCAATGTAAAGACTTAGCAGCAGCAGATACTAAAAAACAGCGCTCAGACCCGTAAGTACATTTTGGAGTCACTACTTCACCTTAGTTTTCAAATTCTTAATCTTATAGAAATTAGGAAGGAAAGAAAGTGATTGAAAGGAGGGTATGTGTATGACTGTGTTAAAAGGAATATTTGAAAAGTTGGGGGGAAATGCTATTTTATTTACTTTATAAATTCATATGCCAAAGTTATCAAACAAAAAAAGTTACATGTTGATTTATAATGATGCACACCTGAAACATATATAGATAATGTTATCATGCAGTTTACTGCAACAAAAGAAGTTCTGAGGAATTAAAATGTCAGAGGAGTACAAAATATTTCAAATTAGAAGAAACCCTTGAGGATAATATCCGCTGTGTGTGTGCTACTGCTGGGAGACGGGTTGTTACATCTTTTTACAGACAAAAAAGGACACAAAGATAAGCCACCTATTTACATGAGTTCAGATGATAGTAAAATGACAAATGAGGACTTTTTTTTACATCATCCTCCCCATATTTTGCTGTAGGCTGCAGATCTATAGTCAGCTTGCTAGTTTTGACTTTTTCTTGACCTTTTGTTTGGTTTCTCTATATTCCACATATAAGTAAGACAATCCAATGTTTATCTTTTCCTTCTGATTTATTTCAGTAAGCATAATTCTTTCCAGTTCCATCATGTTGCCACTGATGGCATGCGCTTTTTTGATTGCTGCGTAATATTCCATTGTATAACTGTATCACTGCTTTCTGATCCATTCATCTATTTTGAGTTATTTAAATTGTTTCCATATCTTTTTTAAAAAAAGATTTATTTATTCATAAGGAACTGGGGTACAAGCCAGAGATGCGGAGGGTGAGAGGATTTACCAGAGACAGAGCGGGGAGCAGAACAGGCAGATCAACGAAGTACACAGCTGAGGGGAGCAGCGGGCTGGTCAGGAGAGAGGTCTGTCACCTCCAGGGCAGGCAGGGATCGAACTCATGGGGAAGTGGCTTTAGCTTCTTAGTGCTGTGCTTTAATCTGCTGCGCCATGAGGGAGGGTCTGTTTCCATATCTTATCTATTGTGAATAGTGCTGCAATAACATAGGAGTGTAGATTTCCTTTTGAAGTAGAGGTTTTGTGTCCTTTGGGTATATTCCTAGGAGTGAAATAACTGGATCATATATAGAACCATTTTGAGTAATTTTAGGGTCCTCCACACAGATTTTCATAGTGTCTGGATTAGTTTACATTCCCTCCAGTAGTGTAAGAGGGTTGTTTTATTGCCACATCATCTCTAGTATTTGTTGTTTCTAGTTGTTTTTTATATGGGTCATTCTCAACAGTATCAGATGGTATGTCATTGTGGTCATGATTTGCATTTCCCTCATAATTAATGGTGTTGAACATCTTTTCATATGCCTGTTGGCCATTTGCATTTCTTCTTTAGAGAAGTGTCTTTTTAGCCCTTCTTGCCCATTTTTTGATTGGGTTGGCTCTATATTTTCTTGACTTGTGTAGATCTTTGATATCAGCCCCTTATCCATTATATGGTATGCAAGTATTTTCTCCCATTCAGTAGGATGTCTCTTTGTTTTAATTATTGCCTCTATTTCTGTACAAAGTCTTTTAGTTTGATGTAGTCACAGCTGTTGATCTTCTCCTTTGTTTTCTTTGCTTCTGGAGAATACTCAAAGAGGTTTATGAGGTTTATATCATGGAGTGTTTTGCCTATGTTTTCTTCTGTATATTTTATGGTGTCAGTTCTTACATTCAAGTATCTTATCCATTTTGAGTTGATTTTTGTATATGATATGAGGTAGTGGTCTCGTTTCGTTCTTTTGTATGTTGCAGTTCAGTTTTCCCAACATAATTTATTAAAGAGGCTTTCCTTGTTCCTGATTCTTTATCATAGATTGGTTGACTTTATATGTGTGTGGCTTTATTTCTGGGCTTTCAATTTGATTCCCTTGTCTCTGTGTTTGATTTTGTTCCAATACTATGCTGTTTTTATTATAATGGAATTGTAGTTTTGTTTGAAGTCTGAGAGTATAGTGCATCTAAAATGAGGATTTTTAACTTCAGCTTTTTCCATGACAGTCTCAGACTTTCTCTGAAATTAGGACTTATGGAGCATACTTCATCCCATTCAGTGGTGCAGAAATAGTTGAGGTTCTAGAATTATGTAATTTTCATATTTAAATTACACCCTACAGAAGAACTGTAAGGGAGTTTACCAATTCATCCTTTTAAATCACTGATTTAGTTGTATTCTAGCTTATTTGCAAAAATTGAATACTATTATCCACTCATCACTATACAAGAAGTCTAATTCTTAATTATTTTGCCAGCATATGCCCAATCCTTTGCATTTATTATACAAGCAAATGGGTTCAATATCTTTTTCTTTTACACGGAATGTGGTTTGATTAGATATGCTAAGTGTTGTTTCAAGACACTAACAAAAAGCTTTTATAACAAAGTCTGTGAGCACCAAAGCCTTCTCTGAATAGGAAACAAGCCAAGAGAATGATGTTTGTTGGCCGCACATTAGATAAGGTCAAAGGAAAAAAGGAATTTAGTTAGCATTGCTTTAAATGTCTTTTTTCCAAAGATTTATTTATTTATGCATACAGAACTGCAGTACAGGCCAGAGGTGCAGGGGTGGTGAGGGAATTCCCCAGAGACAGAGTGGGGAGCAGAACAGGCAGATAGACAAAGTACACTGCTGAGCGGAGCAGCGGGCAAGACAGGAGAGGTCTGCCATGCCATGTGGGTCACCTCTGGGGCAGGGGATAGAACTTGCACTGAAGTGGCTGTCGGTCGCTTGTAGTGCTGGGCTTTAACCCGTTGTGTCACCCGGGATGGCCTGAAAGTTCTTAAAACAATATAAAATGATCATTTCCACAGCACATCTTTAATGTTTAAGTATCAAGATGTCATTGTAAAGATTTATTGCCTATTGCTTTTCTCAGCGTCATAAAGTACTTTTTTCTGTCAATGCATTTTTAAAAGTAAGAGTTGAAAATATCACTTTAATTTTCTCTGACCTTCTTATCTGTTTAATTCTCTTTTTAGATATGTAAAGAGCTATTTGTTACCAGACAAGGACAAAATGGGCAAGAAGAAAACACTTGTAGTGAAGAAAACTTTGAATCCTGTGTATAATGAAATCTTACGGGTATCTATGAACTCTTGGAAAGTCCTACATGGTGACCTATGCACTTAAGTAGCTCTCTTCTTGGGTAGTATCTCTACAGATGAAATCATTCACCAACAGAGAAGAAGGAAGGAAACTCACACTGTGAATGTTGTATACATCATCTCATTCACTCCCTACATACCTTGCCTAGCCAGTACTATCTGAATCCCACAAAAGAGGCAAATGAAGCTTAGAGAAATAAAGTAACTCGCTCACATTATACAGCTGATAAAGTTGAGCATTGCTTCCAAGAAGTTATTCCTAAAGTACAATTCTGATCATGTTGTTTTTCTTCTTAATCTCTTTTAGGATTCCTTTACCTTCAGTGTCAAGTCCATCCTTGTTACCATCCTTCCCATCACAACTTGTGCTTCAGCTTATATTTCCATTTCACTGTCTTTATCCAGTCTGACTCCTTTCTGTTCTTTGGAGAAACTATTTTCTCACGCTGTTAGGACTTTGTTCTTTCAAGCTGGAACATTCTTCCCCATAGTCTTGTCTACATGCTTCTTCCTATGATAAGCTGCCATAACCTTTAAGTTCCCTGCCATCTGTGGCATCAGTCATCTTATTCCAGCACAGGATATATCATCACTCAGCACTTAACAGGTAGTTTAATTGTCTGCTTTCCCACTAAACTGTAAATTCTGTGAGAGCAAGGAACCAACTCTGTTGTTTATAAACATTACACCCTTAAGTAAGTGACCTAACATGTCTGTACATGAAATCTGCAAAGAAAAATAATAATAGCTACCTACCTCAGTACTATGAACATCAAAGAATTAATATGTGTGACGTGATCAACATGTATTAAATAGTGTTGACACTTAGTACAGTAGGCATCTGTTCAAAATAGGAATGATAGATAGTTCAACAGCTGAATATATTTGAGCTGAATGGCTCAAATATTGTATTTTTTTCCCAAACTGCATCATGCTACCTCAGTCATGAGTAACATAAAGTTTAAAACTAGAAATTTAAGACTTGTTATTCATTCCCTCTTTTCTGAAAATTCTGTCCAAGTATTTTATTTGATTATCCTTGGAGGAAAGAAGCAGCAGTTTGAGTAGCTCTTAGTGATCCTGGGTAAATCAGCAAGTATTTAATTACAGTGTGACTATGCTATATCCTAGTACCTTGGCTAACCTAACAGTGTGACTGTGCTATATCCCAGAACCCTAATTACCACTAGGTCAGCTACTTCAACCCTGCATTCAGGAAACACCAGCTAATTTAAATGGTAAATTCAGAGAAAGGCAGTCTGCTCTAACCAAAATGGATATTCAAATAGTACATCAAAAAGAGATTATTTTTAGGTTAAAAGTATTATCCCTTTCATGATTATATGTAATCATGTATTGACATTTAAGATGAAAAACTGTTAGGATGCCAATATTTTCAGCTTTTTCCATATGAAGTGGAAAAAAGAAGTATTTTTCTTCAAAAAACACTTGCAAATGGAGGATAGTGATAGTGGGAGAGGTTGTATGTGGGGCAGGTGGTATATGGAACTCTGTGTCTTCCCCTCAGTTTTTTTATGAAATTCAAATTGCTGTAAAAAGTAAGTCCATTATAAAATACTCTCCTGAGATAGAAAACAGATCATTAGATTAAACTTGTATTTTTAGATTAAATTAAATTTGATTTATGTTGTAGATATATAGGTTGATATATTTGATTTATTGTTAAATATAGAACTATTAAAAGCCCACCGAGTGTAAAATGAATAATTAGCTTTGTTTTTAGCAATCTATTACTGCTGTGAGATGTACTATTAGCTGTGATATTTGAGCCCCAGTTTGCTTTGCACAGGGGTAAAAGAAATCTGTTTTTGTGGAAGGTGGATTTTAGCTCTTTGAGACAAGATACTTAGAATACAATAATTTTGCAATATTCTTGAGACTTGAAATCTAACAGATGAGAACATCTCACCCACAAAAATGGGTCATAACTTAGACATAACTTCTGTGTCATAACTTAGACATAAAGTAATATTATTTACACTTTAATTTCTTTTTTTGAACTGCAGTATAATATCGAAAAGCAGGTCTTAAAGACGCAGAAGTTGAACCTGTCTGTTTGGCATCGGGATACTTTTAAGCGCAATAGCTTTCTAGGGGAAGTGGAACTTGATTTGGAAGCTTGGGACTGGGAGAACAAACAGGATAAACAATTAAAGTGGTACCCCCTGAAGCAAAAGGTGAGTTTGGAGTTTTTTGGTGGATTGGTTTGGAGTCTAGTGGATAGGAGAAAGCTACTGTTAAATTCACTTAAATTCAGAATGCGTATCCATATTTTGGGATCATATGTCTTTTCACTCTGGCCATGTTTCTCCTGTTTTCTTCTTTTTTTCCTCTTTCTGTGCTTCAGACTGCCTATTTTTTGCTAACCTGTCTTCAGTTAATTTTCTTATCCTCTATGTCTAATTGCCTGTTATACCCATCTATTAGTAATTGTACTTTACAGATTTATATTTTTATTTGATTATATTTTACAGGTTCTACTCTGTTAATGTTTTCCATCTTTTTGAATATATTAATCAGAATTATTTACAGTGTGTATATGAAAACTAATATCTTAAAGTTTCATAGGTCTCTTGTCTTTTTATAAAATTATACTCATTTATAAGTATACTTGAAAATTGCATTTATTGAAATACTAACTTAGAACACTGTGTATAATTTAGAGATATAGTTTCACACCTCTGTAAATGTACAGTACCTTAACATGCCCACTGCTTAACAACTAATAATGCAGCATATTTCCTTTGGATCCCTTTCCCCTTATCTATTTCATTTTTAATTTCAATTTGGTAATTTTATCCTTCATTTTGATGTGCCAGTTTTATTGTATGCTGCACATTGTCTATGAAAAAATCTAGAGATCCTTTGAAAGGCTTTACTTTTTTTTTTTGGTCACATGCCATCATGATGATAACCTTAATGTAGTCTGAGAATGAGCCAATAGCAGCAGTTTTCATCTGATCTAGAGAAGTTTTGCCTATATTCTAGGTTGAGATCTTTTAGGGCTTCTCACCAAAAGTCTAGAAAAGTAATTCTCAAGTTTTACATGTATCCAATTCACTGGAAGGGCTGCTTAAAACCCTCTGAGCCCTATTCCCAAGGTTTCTAATTAGTAAGATCATGTCAGGGTTGAAGAAGAGTCATTTTATGTTTTTTAAAGGTTTATTTATCTATGCATATAAGAAATGGGGTCTAGGCCACAGGTGTGGGGGGTAAGAAGATTCACCAGAGACAGAGTGGAGAGCAGAACTGAAGTGGCTGGCAATAGTTTGATGGCAATAGCAGAGCTTGATGGTTCTGAGACTTTAACCCTGTGCCACTAGGGAGGCCCCCAAGAAGAGGCATTTTTAATAAGTTCCAGGCATTGCTGATGCTAGCCTAATACCATACTTTGAAAACCACTGATTTAGGGTATTTTTTAAAACCTCCTTCCTTCCTTCCTTCCTTCCTTCCTTCCTTCCTTCCTTCCTTCCTTCCTTTCGTTCTTTCATTTTATTTTATGACAGTTTATTTTTACATCATTTTGTACATTTTTTCCCCCCATCTCAACTGTAATCCCCACAGGTTTCCCATCACGAAGTCACCCATGTGCCATCACCATAATCCCGTGCACTTCCTTCCCCACCCCCGTTTTTGATCCCATTCCCCACTCCACCCCTGCAAAATGTCTCTGGTATATGGTTGTTCATTATTTTTGTTATTTTCTCGCCTGGTCCATTATACTCCTGCTATGAGTGAAACCATCCGGTATTTTTCTTTCTCTTTCTGACTTATCTCACTAAGCATGATCTTTTCCAGCTCCATCCAAGTTGCTGCAAAAGACATGTGTTTCTCTTTTTTGGTTGCTGAGTAATATTCCATTGTATATATGTACCACATCTTCTTAATCCAGTCATCTACTTTTGGGCATTTGGCTGCTTCCATGTTTTTCCAATTGTAAATCAAGCAGCAATAAACATGGGGGTGCAGGTATCTTTTTCAATCAGTGTTTTTGTGTCTTTTGGATAGATACCTAGGAGTGGGATTGCTGGGTCGTAGGGAAACTCCATGTTTAGCAGTTTGAGGAACCTCCAAATAGTTTCCATAGTGGCTGTACTAGTTTGCATTCCCACCAGCAGTGCAGGAGAGTTCCTTTTTCTCCACATCCTCACCAACATTTGTTGTTGCTAGTTGTTTGAAGATGTGCCATTCTCACTGGGGTGAGGTGGTATCTCATTGTGGTTTTAATTTGCATCTCCCTTATTACGAGTGATGTTGAACATTTTTTCATATGCTTGTTGGCCATCTTCATTTCCTCTTTGGAGAAGTGTCTTTTTAGTTCTTCTGCCCATTTTTTGATGGGGTTGTAAAACCATTCTTCTTAAATGGCCATAATCCTACCCCAAAAGAATGCCAGAAGTCCTGCTAAACTTTTAGTCTCTTTTTACTAGGTATTTTGCTTTCAGTGTGGCACTACTGAAAAATCAGCTAATGCTCAAAGTAAAAAGCAGAGAAGAATACTAGGTTTAAGATCTTACCCATGAGTCCTATATAGGTTTAAACATTTGTTTATTTATTTACGTATAAAAGAACTGGGGTACAGAGCAGAGGTGGGGGGCAAGAAGATTCATTAGAAACAGAGTGAGGAGCAGAACAGGCAGATGGACTGAAATTAACTGCTGAGGAGAACAGAGGGGAGCCCAGCTTTTTCATTTGTTCTCAGTATGAGGGTTGGTGTGATCCTAACTAATCCATCATAGCTGGAAGTGACAAGCACAATTGGTAAAAACATATTTAAATCTTTATGATCAAACGTTTAAGAAATGGTTCCCAAATATTGTGTCCAAATCATTTGAAGCACTAACTCTACTCAAGATTTTCTAGATATGATTGTTCAGAATATGTCCAGAGCATCTCGTTTTTAACTGGTTTTCCTTGCGCTACGAATGCATAGCCATGTTTAGAAATAGACCATAAAGGGGAAGAGTTTGAAAGTAAAACCATCTGTAATACTTGGAAATACTATACATTTTAAAATAATTGCCCAGCATTATTTTTTAAACAGACATTTACCCATTTGTTCTAAAATATTCAGGTTAACACAGCTTTGAAAAAACATCACATTTGACTTCCCTGAACCCTCATACTACCCTACTCTACTTCTTTAGAGAAAGATAAAATAAATAAATTACTCTATACACTGACTAAATGGCTAAAAAAAGAAAATAACATGCCAGGCCACTTGTGATACTATCTTTGGGACAAAAGATGTTTAAATGTTTTCTGGTTTTTCCAAGGTGCACACTGTAATTCTGCAAGATGTAAAACATGGTCAAGCTCTGATGGGGAGGAGAATTAACTCAGGGCACTCAGGAGTAACTTGTAGCCCTAGAAATGGGAATGGCTTGACCCCTACACAACAAGTAGGATAAATGCTTTCTGTCTCCCACCTCCTGACAACACTTTATTTTTCTAGACAGCACCAGTTGCCCATGAAGCAGAAAACAGAGGTGAAATGAAGTTAGCTCTCCAGTATGTCCCAGAACCAAATCCTGGTATGTAATGATTTTCTCTACAGATCTGTACCTTCTTCGTACCCATTCCCACTCCAAGGATTTCTTAAAATTGATATTTTCAAAGGCTAAAAGCCCTACACAAGCATATTAACTTACTAATTGTACAGCCCAAATGAGTCAACTCACAGTTTTAAATTAGAACATTCACATTATTTTGTGCAGTACAGAATATAACAAATTGTACTGTTATGATTTAGTGGTAAAGGTGTACTTTTAGTAGTGTTAAGTAGATTTACCTTTAGAAGCAGATCTCCAGAATGTTTTCATTTTGCAAATACAAAACTCTATACCCATTAAACAATTCCTCTGCCCACCTGCCCCAGTCCCTGGAAACCAATCCATTTTACATGAGAGAAATTCCCATTTCCCCCAGTCTCATTCACAGTCCTTATTTTTTGCTGTTGTTTGTTTTCTTGTTTGGCTTTGTCATTTCCATTGTTTTGTTTCACATGAGTGAGATCATCCAGTGTTTTCCTTTCTCCTTTTGTACATTTTTTCTTGCTTTACCCTTTATTTCACCTCCAAAAAGTTTGTATCTACACATTGTGAATGACTCTTCCTGTATTTAGAATTTGGACCTATTGATAATGTCATGATAAGACTATTGTTTTTACAGGTGGGAAATGGAAAGTTTCATTTAAATTTCTCAAAAAATTAGAGCTCATTGGACCTCCATTCTCAAGGTCTCATTTGGAGAGAAAGCTTTTCCCTCAAGGTTACCAACTACATTCTTGATGTTAATGCCTCAGGTCTGGCAGGAAATGAGCATCAGTTCTTTTCATTTCCCAGGCCAGTTCTCCAAGTTATTCTTCTTAAGACTCTGTATGCATGTAATGATTGAAGTCAGGGGTTACAAGGTCAGTAGCTGTCAATAACTTGACAGTGAAGCTAGTGGGATGCAAGAAATAATGGCAAGTGTGGGCAGTGACTAGAATGGTGTTCTAATTCAATTTTTTAAAGTTGCAGGGAAAGCAAAGCAGGTCTTTAGGCCAAGAGGCTGCTAAACAACCATCTTATTACTTTAAGATCTTCCTAAAGGCAATTTTTTTTGTAAATGTATTCTGTCATTTATAGTAAGCGTGCATAGAAATTTTGCCAGTCTCATTGCCCAATTTGTCTACTATTATTTCTTGGTTGTAGGAGCCATGCATAGTGTATATTGTCTGAGTCAGAGTGCATGTAGTTTTTCTACTCCATTATGGCCTTCTCTTCCCCTCAACCTATCCAAGACCTGAATGAAGTCCTACTACCTTTTCCAAAAGCTTTGCTAGACTGTATTAACCCACACTGGTCACATCATGTCATAATAATAACTTGGTAATTTATTTTATATTTTTACATTTTCAATTTAAATTACTCTCTGTAGCTTAGCTATAAATATTTCCCAAGACTATGAATTTCTTGTATTCTTCATATACTTTGTAACAGTCCAGGCATCAGGATTGAACATATAACTGAGCTCATAAAATAATGGTGGGTAATGATTGGGTTAACCCATTTCTGGAAAAATGGTAGTATTCCTCTGTCCATGTATACTCAGCCCAAAAAACAACTTACACTATGTCAGTTAAGTTATTTCCTGCCCATAATTTTAGCTATTAATGGTGCAACCACTTTTAAGAAGAACCAGTACCTGTTTGCTTATTTTCTGCTCACATCGTATTTTAAATGTCTCCCATAATTCACTGAGGTGTTTGAACATAACTACAAATGGGTGATTCACTTAGTTAATAAGTATATTTGATTTTGTTGAACTCAGGAAAAAAACAAAAGGAATGATGTAATCTTCTCTACTTACATTCAATATAAGTTACTTTCATAGAGTTATCTGAGTTCAGTACAGCCAGAGTATGAAATATAAGAATGTGTAGATTTAGCCAGTGAGGATCATATCGTCCTGCATTACCTCATATCGCAATACAGAACCATTTTTAGGTTGGCATCTTTGGATGCAATAGTGTTAAGAGAGGAATGGCAGTAAAAATGTACTTCATCTCCTTTTTCTGTTACAGGTAAAAAGCTTCCTACAACTGGGGAAGTCCACATCTGGGTGAAGGAATGCCTCGATCTCCCACTGCTAAGGGGCAGCCATCTAAATTCTTTTGTTAGATGGTAAGGCCATAGATAAGCTTGCCTTCTTCATTCTGGAGTAGGCTAGCCTTTGCTGGTTGTTTCATTCATAGTTTAAATGAAATATTTTGGGGCAATGATAACATGAATTAGAAAGATTTGTGCCATAAACCCTCAGGACTTCATTTAGTTGTAAAGTCATAAAGATACAAATGAAAGCAGAGCCCTTATACATACATACATAATGCCAAGTTTTCTAGGCAGTACCTCTGCTGATGAGAACTAATTCAGTACAAGGAACAGATCAAATTTAATGCTAGAGTGCCAAACCTGTAGCTCCCTAGTGCAGAGGAAGAATTGCTTTATTTGTTCTTTGGCCCATGTTTATTTTTGGGTGATTTGCAAGAGGCCTTTTGCACCATCTTGCAAATGTCTGGAAAATAATTTGCTAAGCAGATCCCTGCTAATTGTTAGCTCATAAGAGCTTAAGACAATTTGGATTTTAAGTGGCAAGGTTTGTTTTTTCTTTTTTTTTTTCTGTTATGCATATAAATGTCTGGTATCTAGTAAATAGTATAAAATTAATATTAGTGTGCAATCCTAACTCCCTCTGAATAATTTTATTTATATAGGATCAGTCTTTTTCCTTATACCACATATTAGCAGACTTTCACAGAAGTCTGCTAATATGATTTTTCAGTTCAGGTCAATCTCCTGTTCTACAACCCTTGCAAATCGGTTTGCCTCTCTCGATGAGCTAGGTAGGTTAAATTCATTATTATTATAAAAAAAAATAATGTATTTTATTTTATAAAAATAAAATAATGTAGTGGTTACCAAGATATAATTTATTCCTAAAATCAAATTAGCAAATTCCACAGGCTTTTTTTCTCAAGTCTATATCATACTAATTTCCTAGGCTTCACAGATAGTCAAGAATAGAAGATGCCTTCAAGTTTTAAAGGTAGCTCAAAAAAGTGCTATCAGGGTGAACAGTGATTATATGTAAGTATTGAACCAAGTCATTTGCTTAATATGTAATTGCAAAATTAACCTTAAGATGTGGGCATCACTGCCCTCTTCTTGTAGATGAAGAAGCAAGTATTTGAAAGGTTAAGTAACTTTCTCTATAATGCATAGCCAATAAGTGTCAGAGTCAGGACTCAAAGCAAGCCTGGTCTGTTCTCCACACAGAGTTTCTCCCAGATGATGCCACACCACCAACAACAACACTCTCTTCTTTTTCCGTCCTTTGCCAAGCCCCGGAATTTGTGCAGAACTGCACTGAAAGCATAAATGTTCACTCTCATTGAAATGGTTTCTCCATGATCTTTTCTATTATAGTACCATCCTTCCTGACACAAGTAGGAAAAGTCGCCAAAAAACAAGAGCTGTAGGAAGAACCACCAACCCTGTCTTCAATCACACCATGGTGTATGATGGGTTCAGGCCTGAAGATCTTATGGAAGCCTGTGTAGAGCTTACTGTCTGGGACCACTACAAATTAACTAACCAGTTTTTGGGAGGCCTTCGGATTGGTTTTGGGACAGGTAACATTTGTTCCACTTTTAACTCTCTGAAGGCCAAAGTCTTCTGTAGATTTTAGAGGTTTGTTTGTGTGTTGCTCTGTTCTTCCTAAAGAAAACAGATTCTATTTCTGCTATGTATAATGAAATGAACAGGTGAAGGAATGTCAGGCTGTATGCCACAGACTCTGGATGTGCAAATTAATAGGTTGCAATGTCAGTCCACATAGAACTTAAGGTATTGTAGAGAAAATAGGAAAGCCTTCATTGGTACTCTTTCTTGGGAAAAAAAAGAGAAAGAAACAACTTTGGTTCTCGAAGACTAAAAGTATGTTTTAAATAACAGTAGCAACGTTTAAAATAACTAACATTTATGAAGTTACTGTACTGTATGCTTTATTTGCATTGTTTCAATTAATCCTTATAGCAGTTCTCTTGATAGTTGCTATCCTTAGAGGAACTGCTGATCCATGAAATTAAGTAACAACTAACAACTGGCAGAGACCAGATTCAAATTCCATTCTGTTAGATACTAAAGACAACCACACTTCCTTAAAGGTGATCTAGTATCACTTCCAAACCAATGTAGGAATTCACTCCACTGCTCCCATGTGCTTCTAACAGATTGTTTTATTTTTTATTTATTT